ACCAGTCCGTTAGGTTCAGCATTGCTGGAGCAAATAGCCGTTTTGGTCGAGCGGCAGAGCCTGAGCCAAGTATAAATGCCCTGTTTCGCCGCTGCTAGGACCAATAGCCAGGGCCACATTTAAAAGAGGGTGTGCGGCGTCACTAGTAGCGTGGTCTGGAAGAACGACCCAATGGCCGTGTGTATGCATCCCATGTCATGCTGGAGGTGCTGCTAGAGGGTTGCAGTGTCGGCTCGCGTACAGTAGATGCGGCCCAAAAGCTCAGAGCACGTATCCAGATGATAGGTCGGGCTGTGATTGGCCAAGCCACCGCGGGATGGTTTAACTTTTCGCGATGGAGTGGTGAGGAGTCGATGGAGCCCCACGTGGTGACGTAACTGGTTCGGCTTGCTTGTAAATTTTACAGCGGCCCAGCGCAGGCTGTCGGTCCATCTCCGACAGCCGCGGCGGCTTATCGATAGCTGAATAGCCGTTCAGCGTGCTGGACCGTTGCGCAAGAGCGTGGGCGAGACTCAACAGTCCAGGGCGAGACGTTCTGGATTGGAGTGGAAGCTTGCCTGTCCCTGGGCTAGATAGGCCGCCAGCTCCCGCAGTAGGGCTGATGGGTCCTGTTCATGTGCCGTGCCGTGGAATCTGAGGCTCCGAAGGGCGGGCCCTGCAGGCAAGCTGCGGCATCTCACGATAGGCTTATCGGGTTAGCTTTCTTGAGGCTGCATTGTAACACAGAACATTGTGCCTGTGGAGGTCTGCGAGAACAACTACAATATGCAATCAACATAATTGCAAAGGGGTCTAGTTTCTTCCACAGCCTCGTTTACTTCCCTTTCCGCGTATCGGGTCTCAATGAAGAGCCTTTCCAAACAAATCAATGCAATTTCCCACCTGTGACGCTGTCTTCACCACCATCTCGAAAAAAATTGCTAGAGTCACTTTTACCTATTGTTGCTTTCCCCTATAATTGCACGTGGGCGGCATGCACGAGCCAAGGATGGACATAGGGAGACAGAGGTAGGCATCATTACAAATTGAGACACCAATCCCAGTTCGGTATCACCAGCCTGTTGCATGTGCGTATGATATTCCAACATTGTGTGATTTATTGATATCTCTCCCAACTACCCAGCCACCTCCAACTCTCAGCAACATGGCTGATTTTGTCCAATGCCCCCTTTACCCTGCCCTCAGGATCCTGTTTCTTATGCCCCTCGAACTCGACAAAGAATATGTACTGGAAAGGGTTAACGAGGCTGGGCCGGCTGTTGATGCTTGTGAGATTCAGGTTGAAAGCCTGGAAGCAACCGAGGGCCTCGGCTAGGGCACCCGGTGACTCATGAGGTACTGTGAAGGAAACCAGCGACTTGGTTCCCTTTTGACCATTTGCGTGTTTCCGAACGCCCCAGTCCGCCGTAGAAGCCGGGCTCTTGCCAATGATCAAGAACCGGGTTGTGTTGTCATCTCTATCCTCGATCCACTTGCCGAGGAGATCCAGGTTGTGGATCTGTGACGCCAATTGACTGGAAATAGCTGCCCAGGTACCGCTCTTGTCTTGGCTCACAATCTCTGCTGCTTTGCTGGTCGAGCTCACTTCGAAGATTTCGACCCCTTTCAGGTAGGTCGAGATGAATGCGGTGCACTGCCCGAAGGCTTGCGGATGAGAGTACAGTCTCTGGATGTGCTTCAAGCTGGTCAAAGGTTTGGTCCTTGGCCGCGAGGGACTGGGGTCTGCAGCAGTGGGCGTCCGTGTACCAGAACCGTCAAGCTGGTCCTCCAAAAGGGATCCTGCCTCTTTGTGCCCGAGGAGGCAGTGGTGGACGTTGACATAAACCTCTCCCTCGACTGTTATGTCAGGATATACACCATTCCGATCAGCCAGGTTGTCCAAGGTGAAGACGACCGAGCCGTTTGTAGAATTCTCAAAAGGGACCACCCCTGCGATCACCTCGCCATTCTGGACACTTTTGAAAACATCTAGACAGATTGGACTTGATAAGCTGGGTGTTATTTCAGGACCATGGAGCCTCAAGGATTAAGTACCATCAATTGTGACTACAGGTTGGAATTCCCACTCCTGTTCTGAAAATGCTAGTCGAACCGCCTCAAAGGGAGCATACTCGTCAGTAACAGAAGTAGATTTCAGACTCGGAAAATGGCAGACATACTTGGTGAGAATACGAGGCAATGGGGCCAAGGAAACTGACAGTGCGCTTGGCCATCTTCAAGATCAACACCAGTTTACCAGGGCACAAAACTCAAACGAAAAGAAGATACACTGTGTTTCCCTATTGGGAAGTATCACGGATCCCCAAGGCACTTCTGTTTCGCGAATTGTGGGTGATTTTGGCTGGTTGGTTGTAAAGCGCTGCAGGCTTTCTTGTTGAGTGCGATATCGCTCACTGGATGAAGCTTGCAAAAAGCATACATGTGAATGGCCAGGCGTAATGGGGCCCTGAGACATCGCTCAATGTAGCGCACTAACATGTATACGGCGACCGAGGGCTGGCTTCCTGATAATGCATTACATACCAAAAAGCCTGTTCTGCAAGCTTGTTCCGCCTTAAGCCTCCGATTTTTGGCATCATCAATGGGCAAAAGCTGGTGATGCCATTTTCGGTTTGCCTTGCATCGTGGAGCGATTTTCCATTTTGCCAAGTCGGATGATAATCATGCTTTATGCTACACTGGTCGATCGGAGTCTTGTATACATGCAAGAAAACCCGTGAAAACAAGGCGGAGAAACGCCAACAGTGACGGCTGCTGCCCGAACTTGCCGATCACTTGCACACAAACACCCATTTGCACGCAAATGTGAAATTACTCTGCTCACGATTCTTCCAACTGAGGTGCAGCGTGTCACAAGTTCTGCGGTGTGGCTATCGTTCTGCGGGGCAGATATATTAGATTGGTGAATGATTAATTCATCAATTAATTGTTGCATTCAACCAGATGACTACGATTTGCTATGTCATCGGGTCCCAGAAGGAAATGAAAAGACATCCAGTGACTCGACTCCACGTCTGATGTGGACGGCGGCGCTTGAACAAACGCATCCTGAAATAATCTGTTGGTTAAGGAGGCCCCGCGGCTGTAGAAACTCCCCATTGTCTTGCCACGAAACATGTAGCGCTCGCGGCGTATGTTGTCTATCATTGGTGAAACCGGGCCACCGCTCAGTGCCACATTCACAAATGACAGACGATGGGGAAATGGTATTGCGGTCAATGCATACGGACTTGGCGATACATGCGGCATAAGCGGTGGTCAGGTTCCCGAACACTCACTGTCCAAGAAATGTCCAACTTGCTGGGGAAGGATTGCCCGATTGACTCATGCCGGGTTTCTCCTCTTAATATCGCACTGAAAGCGAGGAACCGGCAAGGATCCTATCGTGTCGTGCAGCATCACCGTCCTGTCCAGCCTAGAGAGTAGCATCGAGGCTAGCACAGGTGAACGGGGTGAACGGCGACCTCAAGCTTCTTGTACAACCTGCATCTAGCTGCGATTCGGCGACGGTGAGCGGCTAGCCCCCCTCTGTTGAAACGCCGCCTGTTTCATCTTTCGAGCTGGACTTGACGAATCACCTGGAAACTGGACCCCCAAGGAGGCCAGGATAAGGTCAGCGGGGAGGAGAATCCACTTTGAAGGGTACATGCTTGCTTGGTATCGTGCGCACAGCCCAACGAGCAGGGCCCTATAATAGAAGGAAATCGAATTCATGCCAATGCCCTCTCGACGATTCCTTTGTTTGCCTGGAGCCGCTCGGGCGAGTGATCACTGGCTTTGCTTGAAGTCATGCTGAAACGCCATTTGATGATGCCAACACATGCACGTCTGGAGCCTCCTAATCAACTGCTTTGGATGCCCAGCCAAGCCCAGCCCAACAAAACCCCTGGTGGGGGACTTTGTGTCAACACCTAGCGGACGGCTCTTCAGGTAGCGGTGCAATAGTCCAAAATAGGGTCAGGTCCGGCTGTGGCGCTCCTCTCAGAGGGCAAGTTTACCTCTCTCGGGTGCGGAGGTCCAGGAAGCCTGCACTTGGCTGCTGGTAGGCGGCGTGGTAGCCTGTTTCGCCAGACACATCCGCAGCCTCACACTTGCTTGGCAATGCGCCATCTGCACGAATTGCAAAGTCGCGCAAGCACCACGCAGGGAGGGACACATGTAGGTAGCTACCCAGTCTGGCGACCGGCAGTGTTCATGACGGTGTCGTGGGTGCCATTGTGGTTCCTGCGCTCGTATCAAAGCCGTGTATTATGCTTCTTCGTATATGAGTGGCACAGCACGCCCAGGGTTTGATCACTCACAAAGCACCCAGAGCGATGGCCTTCCAATTAAATCCTCGCGGCCGTTGGGTCTACCTGTAGCATCGCGCGTCCATCTGCCTGCCTGCATCTCCTGTTGGTCAACGTGGAGGTCCCGCGTGGCGAGTTTCAGCACTTGCCCACCCGTTGAGACGGGTAGGTGGGAGGTTCTAGCGTGTACTTGGGGTACCTGGCTCTGAGGTACCCTGCGCCTGTAGCCCACTTGCTCCCCCTTTCCGTGCTGAATCACAGGCTTTCATCCTTAGAAATTACAGGGGACCCTCTCCCAAGGGTCAGGGCGGCCGGTTCAAGCGTGCATGCGAATTGGGCCTCTCACTGTCCTATCCCACACACACAGGGATCTGTCTCATCCTGTGCTTTGTTTCGTATTTTCTGATAATCGTAGCGAGCCTCCCGCTCCCCTCCTTCCCACGTTCTCCCACATCGTCATCTTGACCGACGCTGCTGGCATTCTGTCGACAGCGAAGCTTCCGTGAGCTGTTGCAAGTCAAGCGCAGGAGAGGCCTGGTTGTTGTTTATTTTTAATACTCACAAGGCCGTATCCAGCAGGCTGGGACGCCTTCAGACGACACATCGCAGCATCCCTACCGGTCACAAGAGCATACCGGAACTACTCTCTTTAATAAATCAACATAATTCAGCAGTGGCCTGCACGCGAAGGCCGCCAGCACAGCTCCAAACATGCTCGCCTCCAAAGCATCCTTCCCGCCGGTAATCAACACCTCCAACATGCCTCCCGGCGGTGGCCCTCCTTCGGCACTTCCCACGCCACGACGACTGCCCGCGATCCAAAATGCCAGCCAGAACTTCGCCAGCCCGACCGAGTCCGAGTTCTCAGATCCCGAAGGTCCTGACTCCGTTAAGAACTGGGACGAGGACAAGGTCTGCGAATACTTGAGGAGTGTCAAGTGTGGCGAATATGAGAAACTCTTCCGGAAAAACAATATCAATGGCGAGAATCTACTGGAGATGGACAAGGAAGTACTGAAAGAGATGGGCATTGACAAGGTTGGTGACCGAGTTCGACTTTTCTTGGGCATCAAGAAGCTGCGAACCAAGGCATACGCGAACCAGAAGAAGAGGAATAGGGTGAGAATTCGAGCAGCTACACAATGTGTCTCGCGGTGTTCAAACTAATCAGATAATACGCTTTGTATAGGATTCCTTCGGCGGCCTAGACACACATGTCACATCTCCCGGCATGACGATTCGCCCCGCGATGTCTCGATCAGGCCCCAGCACGGCATCGATGAACAAGCGATTCTCAAGACAGATTGACCCCTCCATGAATTTCAACGACATCATGAAACAGGGCAATTCTCGGCCGTCTTCCCCTCTGCAGAGCGCGACTCTGCGCCAGCCACGACACCCTCAAGGTTCGGGTTACACACCTACTTCATCCAGGCACCAGGGCTCCGGCGATGCCCAACCTGGCCATCTGGTACCGACCCATACAAGGAACAACTCGAGTATGGATGGTTCATCGCTGATGGCTGCCTTACCACAGAATCAAGATGTTATCCGAGTCATCTCGACCGGAGGCGTTACCAAAGTGGTCAAGATTGCCGACTGCAACACCTGCGAAGAAGTCATGCGAGTGACGCTACGGAAGTTCGCCCTGCGTGAAGACCACGAGCGAAACTACTGCTTCTGGGTTCTTGCGGGTATCGAGCCAAACCCGCACCAATGCAGACGCCTTGGTGATACCGAGCTCTGGCGGATCATCAAGGACCAACGAAGACCAGAACGAAACCGCCTCATACTACGGAGAGTCCCCGCCGCCGAGCCTGGCGATGCCGAGCTGCAGCGCGCAGCAGCCATCGCCTTACAAGAAGAGCAGCAGAAACATTCACGGGCTCTTGAATCTGTAGACAAGCGAAGTCAGTGGAAGGTGCAGAAGGTCCTAGGTGAGAAGTGGAATGAGCAGCTACAGCAACCCCTATCACCCCTATCATACCAGGATCGAGAACGCAATGTCAATAATGCAGCCATGGATCTGGAGCGCCCACCCTCCAGGGAGTCACAGTACCCTGCGCGCCGAAATGCCAGCTTACGGCAATTCGGTGGCCTGAGACCCCCAAGTGAGCTGATTGCGTCCGACTTGACATCATACTTCCCAGATCATACACGAGAGGACATTGACCGCACGGCTCGACTATCTATGAGACGTTCGACTCGCCTTAGCAAGGTCAACAGCCGTCTCAGCGTGGCCAGCAACCTTAGTTTCGCCTCCAGTGTCCAGGATGCTCCCCCCATTCCCACAATCGCTGATTCATGGCTGCACGCTGGTAATCAGCTCGCCAAGGTCCGCACACGGGACTCGCAGGGTCGCTTGCCGTCGATGTTTAACAGAGACTCGATTGCGTCATCTATGCTTGACACTCTCCAAGAAGAGGCATCCCTGGAGCCGGATCGTAAATCTTACGTGTCATTTGGGGAGAGCGGATCTGATGGAAACGCCCCCATCGTCACTGATCCTGATGGCAACACGACAAGTACCAGTTTCTTTGATGGAGATTGTTCCACCAATTCTGGTTCTTTCCAGGAGCTGAAGCAAGTCCTTACCGGCGATGGAGAAGATGTGGACGAGGAGCTCCAGAGCTTCCTTTCTGGAGAGTCATGGGATGACAACAAGTGGATGAAGGGTGCCCTGATTGGCCAGGGTTCTTTCGGCAGCGTCTACCTGGCTCTTCATGCTGTCACCGGAGAGCTTTTGGCTGTCAAGCAGGTTGAGGCACCAGCACCCGGTGCCAACAGCCAGAGCGACGCCCGCAAGAAGAGTATGATTGAAGCACTTAAGCGTGAGATCAGCCTTCTGCGGGATCTTCGACACCCCAACATCGTGCAATACCTCGGATGCAGCTCCTCCTCCGAGCATCTCAACATTTTCCTCGAGTACGTCCCTGGTGGATCAGTGCAGACGATGCTCAACTCATACGGTGCCTTGCCAGAGCCCTTGGTGCGCAGTTTTGTTCGCCAAATCTTGACGGGGCTGTCGTATCTGCACAACCGTGACATCATCCACCGTGATATCAAGGGCGCCAACATTCTTGTTGACAACAAGGGAACAATCAAAATTTCCGACTTTGGCATCTCAAAGAAACTCGAGGCTACCAACATTTTGAACGGTGCTAATAACAATAAGCACCGTCCTTCGTTGCAGGGCTCGGTCTTTTGGATGGCGCCTGAGGTAGTCAAGCAGACTTCGTATACCCGCAAGGCAGACATTTGGTCCCTCGGCTGCCTAGTTGTGGAGATGATGACAGGAACACATCCCTTCCCCGACTGCAGCCAGCTGCAAGCCATTTTCAAAATTGGCGGGGGACGCGCTTCACCAACAATTCCCGATAATGCAAGTGAGGAGGCTCAGCAATTCCTTGCTCAGACATTTGAAATCGACCACCAACTGCGCCCAAGTGCTGATGACCTCATGATCAGCTCTTTCCTGGCACCCATCACCTAAACAAACCATAAGAGAAGGAGATGTTTTCCTCCTTTCCCCCCATATTAAGCCAGCATATAACGGAGAGATGAGAGCATAATGAGGCAAGATTGATGATTGCAGTAGATTGAGTGGGGGGACATGATGATTGATTGATACCTTGAATCCCCCACTCATCGGGATGAAGTTATTTGTTTTATTTTTTTACTTTTTTTTGGCAATACAGTGTAGAGGCAGTTTGGTGTTAGCGGACGGCATGATGATTTGGCTGGGTGTAAATAGTAATACAGGGACGAGACATGCAATACACCAAAAGGAGCCTTTTGACTCATACTACCTACACCGCGACTTGCGTGAATCACACACTGAGAACAAGCGTCGATTTTGCACAATCCTCCCGAGGACGAAAGGCAATCAATCGCTGTTTAAGGTGAGGGTACCCACTTGTTTTTTCCACTTTTGACCACCGTGACAGGGGCTTAGTTGGTTGCCTTGTTTTGGTGATGCAAACCTTTTTTTCTGGGTCGCCTATTAGCTGCTGAGCTTGCGAGTGTTAAGTATCTGCGAACAAGGCAGCAAAGGCAGGATGGACTATCTACCAATCGACCCGCTTTCCAAAACCACCTGACTGGGCAGAGGCGGAGTGAGGGAGTGAGTACGGCTGCGGCAGGAACACGGAAAGTTACAGGCGTATTCGGGAGGCTTGGTTTTGCCTTTCCACCTTTGTAACCTACAGTAAGACTCCCAAAAACAGCCCGGGGACTGCAACTCAGCGTGTGACCTTGCATATGTATGTTGGAGCTCGGCCACTATCCTTTCCTCCTTCGTACCCTCGGAGCACAGAAGATCACAAACAACAAATACTTGAGATCAGCTGCCGGCCAATCTTGCTCGGAAGCTGCCTCCGTCCCAAATCACTCCTGAACTGTTCTCCCCTCATCTAGTATATACCCTGTACCTTTCTCTTCAGTCTCCAAGATGCTTGTGCACGAGGACAGCCAGCAGTCCCAGGGCAGCACCATGACCTTGATGGAAGAGAGACAAGAGATCATCTACTTTGCCTACGGTTCGAACCTCTCCACTCGGCAGATGCTCAAGCGGTGCCCATCATCTACACCCATCGGCCTGGGCCACCTTCCAGGTTGGAAATGGATCATCAACGAGCGAGGATACGCCAACATCGTCCGCGACGCACAGTCGGGTCCAAAAGCACCAGCCTCGTCTGGGGTCTTTGGTCTGTTATATCTGCTACCGCCACTGGACGAAGACTCCCTCGATAGGCATGAGGGGGTGCCCTGGGCATACCAGAAATTCAAGCTCGACATGTCCTGGATCAAGGACGACCAGAAGAAGGACGTGGTCGGGCAGGACGTGACGGCGTTGGTGTACATTGACCAGGAGAGAGTCGCCGAGAGCGCTCCAAAGGAGGAGTACGTTGAGAGAATGCACATTGGCATTGAGGATGCGGTTGAGAACTGGGGGTTGGATGAGCAGTATGCCGAGTTTATGCGGCGGAAACTGGTCAAGAAGACTGAAAATTCTTTATGATTTGAGTGCCATGGAGGGACTTGCTGGTGTTGGATCGACTGAGAGACGCCACTTGCTGATTTCTATTCAATCCTTTTTATGATTGTGTTGTGTCTTTGACTCAGGTGGTCTTTTCTCTTCTTCATTTTTTGTCAGTATTCTGGGGGAAGGGCGCACTTGGGATTGATTCTCATCTCTATTTTACATTTTTAACTTATTTTTCTTCGCGTGATCTTAAACCTATTATCTTCCGCATAAATCATCAAGCTTTTACGTGGCAGGAAATTGATGCGACTGTAGTGCCTCGTTCGGTGAGGGGCACAAGGCTGAAATGATTCCTTCCCTTAGCATCCCACTCTGAGTTAGAAGTGGCAGGATGCTTACCAACGTAGAAGGTAGCATGAACGTGCTTACATGGATGTAGGTGAGAGCATTAACGAGGCACCTTTAACGGTAAGTGCAAGAACGGCAGAGGAGCCTAAGCGAGTTTTGTCCAATCCAACCTTTCTGAAAACGCCTCGTCATCGGGTCGCTCCTTCTCCCTATACGGCAAAACATCCGGATATCGCAAGAGAACTGCCACCACGGAATTATCTCTGCTCTCCCATCAACCAACACCAGCCAGCACCAAAGAGTGCGAAGAGTTATCGCTACATGTTACCATCAAGTATTCTTCCTCCCGCAGTTACAATACCGTCCACCCTTAGGCCAGTATCATTTTAGCATTCGTGTTCAGCCAGGTTGGAAACGAGCAAAGAACGCAGGTGTCTTTCTAGCATTTCTCCAGAAACAACATGGGCTTTCGAAGAGCCCAGTTCTCGCCGGATGACCCACCAGCCAAAGACTCGCCACGCCCCGAGGCGAAAGGCGACGGTGATACAAATGCCCCTGCCCCTAGCCATCGACATTCTTCCGTCCTCAATAGAGAGGGTTCCATATTCAGCTTCTTCGGCGGCAACGAAGCTGCCAGGCAGGCCAATATACGTGAACAAGAGATAACTTTAAACGCCGCTTTCCGCTACTACCACCCTGCCATGCGCTGGGCGATCATCATGGCCGCGCCTATCATACTTGAAGGCTACGACACATCGCTGATGCCCAACTTCTTCTCAAATAAAGCTTTTATCGAACATTATGGGACTGTAACACAGAAACAAAAGGCTATTCCTGTATGGTGGCAGTCCTTGATCACCGCTGCTGCTACAATCGGTCAACTTTTGGGTCTACTTATTGCGCCAAAGATTCTCGACAGGGTTGGATACCGTGTGTCCAATATCGCGGGTCTAGTGTGGGCTGCTCTCTGCTTAGTGGTTGTGTTCGCCTCATCTTACTGCGGTGGTGAGAACGGAAGACTGATCGTCTATCTCACCGGAGAGTTCCTCATTGGTATGCCCTGGGGGCTATTTCAGTCACTGGCTCTCCCATACGTCTCCGACATCACGCCTTTAAAGCTGAGGGCACAGGCTGCTACCATGATCAACATCTACTGGCTCATTGGGCAGCTTCTATGCAGCGGCATCCTACGTGGTTTCCTTGGCATGGGGGAAGACCCCTGGGCCGTTCGGATTCCCATACTTCTGCAATATGGCTGGATCATCCCTCTGATATAGATTATCTGGCATGCTCCTGATAGCCCGTTGTACCTCGCTCGGCAGGAGAGATATGCAGATGCCACAACTGTTCTAAAGTTTCTCAACCGAGATCCATTCTTTGACGCCGAAGGATCTCTGGATGCAATCCGCCAGGTCAACGAGCATGAAAAGGCTTTCTCCCAAGGCATGGGCTACATGGCATGCTTCAACAAGTCAAACCGCCGACGAACTGAGATTGCTATTATGGTGTGTCTGACCCAACAGCTAGTTGGAACGTGTTTGATCACATACGGAGTTAAGTTGCTGGAACATTCTGGGCTCAGCGAGACCAACTCTATGGAAATTACTATGGTCATGTACTGCCTCTGCATTCTATCGACACTGTGTTCCATGTTGGTGCAGCGACGATTTGGTCGGAGAACCTTGTGGCTGTGGGGTCTAGGTTTCGAGGTCGTTTGCCTGCTGGTCATTGGCATCACTGGGTCGTATGAGGGGAGTCTGCCCACGAAGATTCACTGGCTGATTGCTGGCTTTTTGGTTCTCTTTGCAATCATCTACAACCTAACGCTTGGGCCTCTATGTTTCACAATCGTTGCTGAGACGCCTTCAACTCGTCTCAAAACTACGACAAACTCACTCTCTCGTGCTGCGTACATTATACTCTCGATTGGGAACCAGTTCCTCGTTCCGTATCTGCTTAGCCCAAAGCCCGTGGGGGTAGGCCTCAAAGCGCAAGCAGCCCTCGTATGGGCGGGAACGGCTGCAGCTTGCCTAGTCTGGTCCTTTTTCAGGTTGCCTGAGATGAAGGACCGTACTCCGGCTGAGGTTGACATCCTGTTTGAGGACAATCTGCCAACGCGACACTGGAAACATACGAAGCTGGACTAGAGAAGAGAGGGGCGATGGCTTTTAAGAAGAGGCAGTTTCGTGCCATTCTCGAGAAACCCAAAGTCACCATAGGTGCTGGAAGTGCGTTATAGGACAGCACATTACAAATATTTGGTATTGGGAAGGGGCGAGTGGTGCGAGAAAGGGAGCTCATATTTTGGGCATTGCGGTGTATGGGGACTGCGACCTTCATGCACTTGAGTGTTGTATTGAGGTTCATTTACACAAGACTGTTTGTGGCTACATACTGTTATCGTGGGGTATCGGTTTCGGTGGCACTGCAATCAACTATTCATTCATTCACTCATTCATGCCCATGAAGAGTTTGTTGCCTCTTGGTGTTTGGTTTGATTGGCTGCGTGACTGGTATAGCATTGTCTACAGTGGTGGAATATTCCTGGAGAGGCGCGTGACCGCTTGATGAAATTCGGCTTAATCCTTGGCACAGCACTGGGACGCATATTACGTGGCGAGGAAATTCCATACCCCTTGCGGAACAACGCAGCTGACCAGCAGGAGTGTCCGCCCGATGTAAATCTCGTTCCTGATCAAGACCTTCCCCGCGCGGAGCCGATGCCGCTCAAGCCACCACTACGGGAGAAAGTCAAAAGCAACCTCACACCATGGACATCAAGGCAGCTTAGTTTGCATCATCTCACACACTCTCATCTCATTCGCTGCGTGCGATCCTACCTCCAATCCCCCAATTGGCGACCAATTGAGAGGCCCAGCGCACCCAAACTCCTAGCTCGTGGCACACTGAATAACAAACCGAGAGAGAGAGAATAGAAGAAGACGATATCATCTGATTCACTCTCCCATGTTAGTGAGACAGAATGGATCGAGCATTCAATCTAGTTTCGGGTCCAGCCCAGGAAGGTGAGTTAAGTGAAACTAGACTGAAATACCTAAAGAAAAAAATTCCAAGGGCATAAAAGAAAAACAAGAAGACGAGCTATAAATCTGCCTACTGTCCAAAGAGGGAGTTTCCTTTCCAATTTAAAGACTCATTCGCTCATGCGGCGTTACGTGATCATGATGAGCAGCTTCCTGACTTACACCGCTATAGTGCTTGTCGCCTCGCCGGGTTTGGCGGCCGGTATCTCGGGCGGCATCGGGCGCCTGCCGGCCATGGGGTGGAATTCGTGGAATGAGTACGCGTGCGATATCAGCGAGGGGGTGTTCCTGGAGACGGGCGAGCTGATGGTCTCGCTGGGGCTGAGGGATCTGGGGTACGAGTACGTCAATATCGATGACTGCTGGAGCGACAAGGAGAAGAGGCGGGACGAGGAGACGAAGCGGATCGTGGTGGATTCGGAGAAGTTTCCGAGGGGGATCTCGCATGTTGCGGATGAGATTCATAAGCTGGGGCTCAAGGTGGGAATCTACAGCGATGCAGGTGAGAAGAGTGCTCTGCCATGTTTTATCAACACGAGCTATGGGGTTGTGGTTCAGCTAATATGCGATCTTCCTAGGAACTCTGACCTGCGGGGGGTATGAAGGGTCTCTTGGCTATGAAGATATTGACGCTGCTACGTGGGCAGAATGGGGCATTGACTGTAGGTTACCTCATATGATGGAGGGCGTCTATCGCAGGCAAGACTAACGGAATCTCCAGATCTCAAATATGACAACTGCAATGTTCCGCCTGAATGGGCAGATGAGTATCCTTACGACCCGGCCTTGACGAGCAATCCGGTGCCACCACGGGGCTACGACTATGCCAGGTCCAACACAAGCGTACGGTTTAGCAGAATGCGCGATGCCTTGCAACGACAGAGCCAACCTATCCAGTACTCTCTGTGCGTCTGGGGCCACGCTCACGTCGAGCGCTGGGGCCACGAGACGGGCCACAGCTGGCGGATGTGGGGAGACATTCTTCCTCAATGGGCCGGCAGGGCTGGCTTCTCATGGGGCATCATGCCCATCGTCAACCAGGCGGCGAGGCACTGGGAGGACTCGAGCTTCTGGGGCCACAACGACTGGGACATGCTCGAGGTAGGCAACGGGGACCTGACCTTTGAGGAGAACCGGAGCCACTTCGCGCTCTGGGCGGCGCTCAAGAGCCCGCTCATCATCGGGACGCCGCTCAAGGGCATCGACGAGAAGGTGCTGGGGATCCTCAGCAACAAGGAGCTCATCGACTTCAACCAGGACACGCACTACTCAGACTCGGCGCGGCCGTTCGGCCTGGAGGGGCCGGTGCCGCCCACGGCGGACAACACGGCCCATCCGCCCAGCCACTGGGTGGGCATCTCGGTCAAGGGCATCCATGTCTTCTTGCTGAACACGGGTGCGGAGGAGGCCGTCCTGGCGGTTGAGTTTGACAGGACGCCCGGGCTCAACAAGCAGCGGGTCTACCTGGTGCACGATATGTGGACAGGGGAGGACCTTGGGGTCTTTCTGGATGGCTTTGCGCTGAGCGTCAAGGCCCATGATACTGCTGCGTTGCGGTTTACAACCCCCCAAGGTGAGAAGAATGGTCCATACCGTGAAAGTGACCTTGCTGACATTTGCTACTACAGGGAATCATCCAGATGCGAACTGGGCACCTAGGGAACCTAGGCGGTCTGAGGGTGGTGATTAGGTGAGCGTGCTTGTTATAGGTTCATGTTGGTTAAATTAGGGATTGGTTGGTTGGGGCTATCAAGTGGCGTCTGCAAGGCACCAACACGCAGGCACCTTCAGATATGTATATTGGATTGATAGCTGAACATGTGTCGGGTAATTGAGGGACCGACTATTCCATCAGGCACCAGCACGTCTCCTGCACGATGAGATGAACAACCCAACTTCTCTCCGGTTTCTTCTTGATCCCCGAGTGTAGGTTAGGCAGTAAAATTATGGTACTGACATGGCCACTCTGTTTTTAGTGTTCCCCTGAAAGAACCTGGGCTGGTGGCTAGGCAGGCGGTATCGAGGACCTGAGGAAGTGTGGCATCTGAGTCTGGGGCAAGGTAGCCGGTACTTTGTGTTCGTTATAGCGGGAATGCTAATGGATGGCTGAGCATCGCCTCCAGGAGGCACCACCGTTTCCACTTGCTGCTCTTCGACTCCTTCGGACAATCGTTTCAGAACGAGTCCGATTTCAATTCGCCTATAGCGTCCAATGCACAGCGTCCCGCCTGCCCTTTGCTCTGTTGCATCTGGGTTTCGAATCTCAGCAATGTCTTGAACTGCCCGCCCACTGTACAGCATTAGAATTTGCCCAACCGCCCCCCCTGTAGATCTGGGACACACAGCTTCTTGGCCCACAACGGACCGCCTACGTCAGCCGGACAACGCCCTTCAAACCACCACGAACCTGGTCGCATCTCGACGTCTTCTACCCATTGGCGCAGCCTCGAGTCGCCCGAACCATGGCTTCGTTCGGCCAGCAGGCGGCTCCTCGAGGGCCGTCACGACACCCTCCCCATGGCGGGTACGCCCCCCCTCAGATGGCCGCTGCCGCTGCTGGTGCGCCCGCGGGCACCTTCGCCTCCGGGACCAAGATCCAGGTCGGCGGCCACCGAGTAGTCATACAGAAATACCTCTCAGAGGGCGGCTTCGCGCACGTGTACCTCGTCAAGATGCCGCAGCCCGTCGACGGCACCGACCTCGCCGTCCTCAAGCGAGTCGCCGTGCCCGATAAGGAGGCCCTGCGGGGCATGCGCACCGAGGTCGAGACGATGAAGAGGCTAAAGGGCCACCGCATGATCGTCACGTACATCGACTCGCACGCCTCCGAGCTCAAGGGGGGCGGCTACGAGGTGTTCCTCCTCATGGAGTACTGCAGCGGCGGCGGCCTGATCGACTTCATGAACACCCGCCTCCAGCACCGCCTGACTGAGCCCGAGATCCTCAACATCTTCTGCGACATCGCCGAGGGGGTCGCCTGCATGCACTACCTGAAGCCTCCTCTGCTGCACCGGGACCTGAAGATCGAGAACGTCCTCATCACCAGCAAGGGGTCGGCCAAGCGTTTCAAGCTGTGTGATTTCGGGTCCGCCTCACCGCCCAAGCCAGCGCCGACGACCGTGGCCGAGTGTCGATTGATGGACGAGGATGTCCAGAAGCACACCACCCTCCAATATCGGAGTCCTGAGATGGTTGACGTCTACCGGAAGCAGCCTATGGACGAGAAGTCTGACATCTGGGCGCTCGGTGTCTTCCTTTATAAGCTTTGCTACTATACCACGCCCTTTGAGGACCAGGGACAATTAGCCATCCTGAACGCTAGTTATAGGTTCCCGAGTTCCCCTCCATTTTCTGATAGATTGAAGAGACTTATCGGTACGAATCTTACTTGGATACCTAACCATTGTCTATTTCCGATCTTGGCTAATGATTTACCTTGGTAGCGTCGATGTTGAGAGAACAAATGCAGTCACGACCGAATATATACCAAATCCTGAAGGAGGCATGCGAGATGCAGGGCCGCAAAGTGCCTATCCACGATGTTCGTACCTCTTTGGCCTCGTATGCTGGGAAGAGATTAATTGCTGACTCTTGGGAAGATTTACTCAGGGCGATCCCATTCCGAAACCCGAAAGCTGGAGAAGCCTTTACCCAAAGAACCAACGTCGTCAGGATCACCTGCTGTTGGTGCTGTCTGGTCACCACCGGTCGAAGAAAAGCCAAAACTGCCCGATATTACTCCCATGAGAAGAGGACGGCCTGCGGCATCCCCTGCTCCAGGGCCAAAGCCAAACGCTCCCCGTGCTGGTGGAGGTGATCCTTTTGCTGCTCTGGATTCGACAGCAGCTGTACCAGCCGGTGCACCTGGCGCGTCCTCGCCTGATAATTTCTCGTCAAGGTTCCCTTCCCTCGACCAGTTTTCTTTACTTCATGACCAGGGATCCAAGTTCGATTTTGGTGACGACCCCAACTCTCCTCAGACACAGGCACCTGCTGTGGGAGAAGCGAACAACAAGATTACGGAGCGCTTGGCAGATGAAGTGTTTGCATCCAACAAACCTAGTCCCCCGACACCCAAGGTCATTTCTAGGCCTGCTTCTGCCAGTCCGGCCCAACCCAGCCCCAGACCTGCTCCGCAACAGCTGGAGTCGTCGAAACCGAGAGTCCCTGTTCAACCCAGGCCTGAAATCAGTCGGGCTCAGTCCATTATTAGCAGCAACCCGGAGTTACAGGCCATATCTACTTCATCTGCCAATTATGTATCCACCGGCACTTCGACTGATGACCTGCCTTTTGATCCTCAGGCTAGGCTTCCATATAGATCAGCACCGATTCAGACTGAGCAGCCTCGCCGCTCATTGAGTCGTTCTAGGCAACCTGATCTGGCAGCCGAGCAAGCTCACCCAGGTGATGTTCGTACGAGTTCAAACTCTCGATTGACATCCAACTTTTCTTCACATATCCGAAATCCTTCACAGTCTCGGCAGGTGTTGGAAAGTAGCCAACCTCCCTCGGATATTGAGGTAGCCCCACGCAAGAACAGTCTCCATGTCAGCCGCTCTCGTCCACAGAGCGTGAATTACGAATCCAGCACTACCATTGACTATCTACGCGAGAGAGAGTCGATGCCTCGCGCTCAAAACCGCCTGGCGCAGCCTTCTCCTAGAGGCTCGCCAAGGATTCCGTCTCCAAATATGATTTCCACGGAAGATGAGCCGAGAGCCGAGAAAAATGACCTGGATTTTCTCAGGAGCATGGAAGATTCCGAAACCAAGACCTCAAACAAGCGTTCCAGCCTGTCATCACTCTCTGGATCCAAGCAGATGCTTGCAAGCCGGTTCGGCGAGGCCTTCAAACGATTCGAAACAACTCCAACACCCCCTCCTCCTGCTGGAAGACGAGACTTGACACCGATTGCTGGATCTGAGGCTACGGATGGTCGAAGTGATGATGGAAAGTTTGACGACGATTACGAGTCGATGACTCCGGAAGCGCGGCGGGAAATGGAGAGACGAAAACTCGAGGAGGAGGAGCAGAGGGTCGAAGCTGCCCAGGCTGAGTACCGCAGACGCGTAGCAGAAGGTGGCTCTGCATCGGAGTCCGCAGCACTTCCCAGAAGCATCGGAGGAGTTCCACGTGCGAAGAGCATTCAGAACCGAGTGCAGAATCTTCTCAATGAAGACCAGCGTACATCCACCACCGTGCATAAGACTGCAGAAGGCTATGGCAAGTACTCGGATGCGGCTACTGCAGCGAGCAAGGTCGAGAGGCAGCCGCCCGAGATCCCGCGGAAGCCCGTGGTGCCCTCCAAACCCACGGGGAGAGGCCCAGCTTCCCCGGTTATCCCCACGACGCCAAAACCACAACTGAAGCCAGTGGCTCCCAAGAAGCCGGGCCACTTGAATAGTATTCCAACTGGAAATCGGCCTCCTTCTCCCCCAAAGAGGAGTCAAACGGCGGGTTCAGAACAGCTCATTGCCTTTGACCTGCCTGGCCAGCCAGCGCTAGAGATGTCAGGCGACGACAAGGACAATTATATTCGAGACTTCTCCCAGAGATTTCCCAGCCTAAGTGCCATGGAAGGTGCTGGGCCTAGACAGTGAGATGTGTAGAGGAACAACCTAGATGAGGGACATGGTAACATCATATAGACGCAAATCGAGCAAGCTTTGCCCATGAATTGGAATATGTACTTAGACATAGTCAGTGGTATATCAGCCGTGCATTTTCAGGCCTAGGGCCACCTAGCTTACGTTCAAAGGCATGGTTTTGCTCTTTCAAGTACAATCAAATGTCATAGATGACAGAGTTAGGAGGCGGGTATATACATCTGAGAAAACCATATACTGCCACACATTGGTTATAGAAAATTATACAACTTTTTTTTATCAGAGCAAATATTTTTTTACATCCTACTTGATTCCCCATCTCGAACCCAGATCCTGGGCATCCTGAGGCATGCATGGTAGTGGGGCTTGTGCATATAACGGGTTATCTTATCAGCTCCATCGATAACTTTTTTTTTACCAGCAGGCTTCATACCATCTGAAGCATCCGACCTACCTGGGAAAGAAAAAACATACACAGCCACCCCAACACAGCAATTGAGATGGCAAAACGCAAGAGACAAAACCCGCCCAAGGTTGAGGCCCCCTCGGAGGCCCCGGCGACAAATAAGAAGCAGAAACCTGAGACTACAGCACCTACAAAGACTGCCGAACCGACGACGACCTCTTCAGCGCCCTCGGCTACGGAAACCCTCCAAATAGTGTTGGGGTCGTACGACCGAGTCCTGCACGGCCTGACGGCGACCGTCGGGGCGAAGAACACGGAAAAGAAAAAGAATAAGAAGAAGCAGGAGTTCACCGCCGACTTCGCCGACACGTTCCTGCTCACGGCGCACACCTCGCCGATCCGCTGCGTGGCCGTCTCCCCCGCCTCGGCCCCCTCGGCGGGCCAGATGCAGAAGGTGTTCCTGGCGTCGGGGAGCGCGGACGAGAAGATCAACCTCTACGAGCTGTCGGCGCACCCGCCCAAGAAGGAGGGCGAGGACCAGCTGCTGGCTACGATCGCGCCGCGGCCAATCCTCGAGAACCCGCGGAATCGGGAGATGGGCGCGCTGCTGCACCACACGTCTACGGTCACGGCGCTGCGATTCCCGACGAGGTCGAAGCTGCTCTCGGCGAGCGACGACTCGACGATTGGGGTGACGCGGACGAGGGACTGGTCGCTGCTGAGCTCGATCAAGGCGCCCAAGCCGAATGTGTTTGGGCGGCCGAGCGGTGACACTGCTGTGTTTGGGGGCGCGCCGTCCGGCGTCAACGACTTTGCCATCCACCCCAGTATGAAGCTGATGATCAGTGTCAGCAAGGGGGAGCGCAGCATGAGGCTCTGGAATCTCATGACGGGGAAGAAGGCCGGTGTGCTCAACTTTGAGCGCAACCTGCTGCAAGAGATTGGAGAGGGCAGGCATTCGACCGGGGAGGGATTGAAGGTCACTTGGGGGAATGTGGACGGCGCGGACGAGTTCGCGGTTGGGTTTAGCCGCGACATCGTCGTGTTTGGGATGGACAGCACGCCCAAGTGCAGGGTGATGCCGGACGCGAAGACCAAGATCCACAAGTTCGAGTACCTGACTCTGGATGAGGAGGAGGAGGAGCCGACGACCGTGATCGCGGTCGCGACAGAGGACGGCCGGATCGCCTTCTTCTCCACTGCCGCCGCGCACATTACTAAACCGACGGACGATAAGGCCGAGCTGAGCACTGCCCGTCTGATCGGGCACGTCGGAGGCAAGGACGACAAGGTGTCCGGGCGCATCAAGGACTTCTCCCTCGTGAGGAGCGAGACCGACGCGGATCTCCTCTACATCATTGGCGGCAGCAGCGACGGGGTGGTCAGGCTGTGGACGGCGAGCCGCGCGGAGCTCAAGAGGGCGACCGAGAAGCCGGTGCTCTCGGGCCCAATTGGCAAGCTGGTGGCGTCGTACGAAACCCAGAACCGCATCACCTGCATGGCGGCCTACTTAATGATACCCTTGCCCGAAGGAGCTGAGGAGAGTGAGTACGAGGTGGACGACTCTGAGGACTCGGAGGCGGATTCAGAGGATGACGGAGAAAGTACATAATTGGCACAAGACATGTTTAGACCTAACCACCGGCGTTCCTTTGCCACAGTCAATTGATTGAATTCCAAGGGCAAAAAAAAGTAAATGACTGATCCAAGAATCAGAGTGAATGTGTGACTTCACGTCGGACGGGCCGTGGTATGTGGACATTGGCATGCAGGTGGAGGAATGGAGGCGGGTTATTAGGCGGGTGAGTGGGCGGTGCATGAAAGGGTCTCGACTTGGATGTTGACTTTGGTCAATGCCACAGTGAGAGCAACATCGAGATGGACGCCTAGATAGTCAGATAGTTCCCCTATTTACCCGTCACGGAAGCTAGTATTGCTCCTTGCGGAATACTACGCACATGGATTTGCATATCTTCTCGTACCCCAGATTCGGCGCGTAATCTCCTGGTGTGTCACCTTCTCTGTGTGTCACCTACTGTGCGCTGGACAAGTGGCGGCAAACCCCTCGTTCACATGAAGAGCGTGACCACCTGCTGGGTGGACCGAGAGGCTAGGCCTGTCGATCGTTCCGTTCTAGCCCTGAAATTCTGGGGTAAGCTTTGGAACGGTTTTGGTTTTCCTGGTAAGTTTTCGGGCGCTTACGCGCGCTCCGGAAAAGAGGATATCAGAGCTTGCACTTGCAGACCTGGCAGCGACCTAGCTTTGTAGGTAGATCGGGGATCTGTTCGACAGCGGGGTTGGGAGATTTCCCGCCGGGCGTGGTGTTGAAACCCGCCCGGGCGAATGCATGTCCCCGACGCAGGGAAGGGCATGGAGCTCGCTTTTCTCGATCTGCGGGCTCGGGTTCAGGCAAAGTCGCCCAGCCTCCGAACTCCATTTTAGTTGTCGAGCAACAGCGAACCCGAGTGTGGGGTAATGGCTAAGCCCGCGCACCAAGCGAGGGAAAAATGGCAAAAGAGGAGCTGCCATACCGTCATCGTGTAGCATCTGGTCGGGGTACCAGGGCAGGGGTCCCCCTTGCCGCCGTTTGCTCACATGTATCTAGTTCAGAGGCAAAAAGGAAGAAGGGTGACTCTGGACCATAGCTGGGCTCGCGGGGTTTAGACTTTGGGCCCAGGCGTTTTGTTGTTGCTGCTCGGAACGGACGGACGGTGATGGCCGTGAGCCTTTCGAGCGCCGGTGGTGGTGCGGCAGCTGTCAAATCCGATGGCCGGGCTTGTCGTATGGGCTGGCCACAAATCGTATCAGATTAGCAGGATGGGGCAGTGATTTGCGATGCAAAGCAGACCACTCGGGCGCAGAGTAGGGAGATCCGAATCGCGGCCCTGGTCTGTTGCAATCTGCGGCAGCCCATATTCGGAAAAAAGAATGTCAAGGGGACGGGATCTGTTGATGCCTCGTGTCCCTGAGAGATGAATACCTTACATTAGGTGCCGCAGGTTGGGTCGCATCAACACCTCAGCAGCGATGCCTGAGTGCTGCTGACAGGCACTGGGTCTAGGTGAAGCCACAATGTCACCGCGCCAGTGGGCTCGCTGGACGGTTGGCGCTAGGGGCCAGCCAATAGGGCGGGCGTTATTTCTCCTTGGGACACCACTAGCGATGCTCCACGATGTACATGCAGATTGCCTGATGTACAACTTCTGCAATTGAGCGTGACCTCTGCAGATATCGCCTGTGCACATCGCCTGTGCATGCTGCTTAAAGGGGACCCCTGTGCCCTCGACGTAGCACTAGCTGCCGACCTACCCTCCCAGGATGGTATTACTCACAGCTTGTCGCAGACTAGGTTGCGACGGGACGGGGTTGCTAATTAAGTCTCGTAGCCAGTTCAGCTGATCTGTGAGCATGTGATGGGAACTGAGCTACCGTCGACTCATGCTGGTACCTCGCTAGAGGTACTACCGATGCTCGTAGTGGCCGCAGCTCAGCAATGGACTAGACCCCGTCCACTTTACTGTCTGGGGCTTAATTAATAATAGGCCAGTCCTCGCAGGTTCGTGTTTTTCGTCTCTCGCTCGGAACTCTTGGGTATTTCTTCAAGCATCCGCCTCCTGCGCCGTTCCCCGAATCTCCCAACCGAACAATTGTGCCCAATCGTACTCGGAAGTCATCTCACAGAGCTCCCCAGAAAGAACCCTTGTCTGGGCTGAGCTGACCAGGGACCGGACTTCTATTTCTGCTAGCGTTGCCGCCACAACAGCCGTGTCTTAGAGTCGAGATTCTTGCGACCTGCCTGGAAGTCGATTGACTCAGACCTGATTCTCAAAATCCCATACTTAATTCACCCATCCCAGCTTTGCGGTGTACATTGACCAAAGCCAGACTCTCACGGGAACGAGGTACGACAGCATCTATACTTTGCCCTGCCGCCCCTCCCGAGCTTGGAAACTGACATGTGAAAAGGACTGTTTCCGCTTTTTCTACGATATACTTACCCGCCCACCTCTGAATTCTAACATATTCCACTCCTTGGGAAGCTGGATTGCCAATCTACGATGTCAGAAGACGGACCACCTCTCTTTCGGCCCATCCCACGGCGGCCTTTCCCGGTCAACATCAACCTCACGACCGCAACACCACCAGAGGACTATGAAGATGACAGCACTGGGCTCCCCCCATCCAAGTCGAACCTCGACCTTTTCAGATCTCGTTTCCTCAATGTAGGATACAAAACGCCCACAGAAGCCGGCTCCTCCATCAGCCGCCCTCCATCATATATGAACCTCACATCCTCGACCCTCTATGGCATTTACTCGCCCACCACCACTTCTCGAGCTTTCCATGACAGGGACGAGGATGATACTCCCTGGGGTACAGGGGCGCAGACCCCGATCAGAAGACCCACCCTCGATGATGTGACGTACGAGCTCATGAAGGAGAGATCGCATCTTGGCCGCAGACCATCCGTCTACCGAACAGTTGACACTACGATCCCCCATGCCGCGACACCGGCCTCGGCGTCGCATGCACCGATCTCAACGACGAGGCGTGCTGCCTTGCTTCTCTCCCTCGGCGTTGGATACGGCATGGTCTTGACTCGATTGCAGGACAACAGCCAGTGGCCCAGCCTCCCTGCAGGCATGATCCAGCCCAGACAGGACATGTACTATCTTGCTTTCTGGGGTATTTCTGGTGTTGTCCTCGGATCCCTCCTCCCCTGGATCGACAATGTGTGGGAAAGCACTTTTGGCCGTGAGGTGGAAGATGATGCGAGCACTGCCTCTTCAGCAGAGCCCGATGCTTCGACGGACTGGACCCTGGTGATGCGCGCGATTGGGGCCTTTGTTGGTATTGTTTTCGCTATTGTGAGTCCCTCAGCTCTAGATATCCCTTAAATTTCCAGACCAAGCGGGAAACTAACAATCGTATTTCTAGCGCAAATTGACTTGGACTTCAAGTCTTCAGGCGTCTCTCGCTCTCGCCCTCGTCAACCCGCTTCTGTGGTGGATCATTGATCGCTCAAAGGCCGGCTTCATGCTCTCCACGCTCGTTGCTGTGCTGGGCTCGGCTGTCTTCCTAGGCGTCAACCCGGACATGATGCCCGCCCCCTCGGGACTCTTCCACCCAGGCGCGGCTGCAAGCGCAGGAAACAGCAGCTACGCCATCGATTCCGAGCTCTACTCGGCTCTTAGCGGCATCGCCAGCCAGGAAACCGTCGAGGCGGGTGTTTGGATGCTGAGCGTACTGTTCTGCAGCAGCATCTGCTTCGGCAACATCGGCCGCCGCCTCGTGTCCGTGTCCGAGGGGACTGGTGTTGGCAAGGGCCGATGGGCCGGTACGCAATAAAGGGCAAAGGCGTTTCCTGTACACTCTCCACCCACCTGGTTGGTGGGATTTTGGTTTTTAATGTAAGGTATACACATATTCAGGACTTTGTGGACTGGCGCGGCATATCGTCAGATGTAACATGCGGATTTCAACAACCGGGGGAAATTGATCGGAGTTTTTGACGGTGCCATGATAGGCAAGGCTACGAGCCAGGGGGCCGGGCTTTGTGATTTGGTTTTGTATTTTTGGAATTGGACTTGGGATTTTTAGTTTGACATGACTTGATGAAATGGTAGCCCGCGCGAACAAGCGCTGCACCCAGTATAGGGAGAGGCCTTTGGGAAATTTGATATATTGATCTTTAATCAGACCCTGTGCTTATTTCCGATTACACTTCAGTGCTATCGACTGGCCGTGAGTGCTGTGTTCCTGCCAGTTCCTGCCTTTTACTCTGGAATAGATAGTATGGCGTCCTGTAGCTCCTGGGATTTAGTCTTCACGTCGTCCCCGAACTCGATGTTGGGTTGGCCCATGATGGCCATCATGGAGGGCGTGGTGACGATCTTGTTGATCGTGAGCGTCCGGGTGAGGACGTCGGTGAACGACATCTGGGCCCTCTCCTCATTGTCCGTGGCTAGAAGAAAGAGTAAACGAGAATCTGGTTAGAAGTCTTTCTTTATATATATATAATCCCGTATTGACCAATTGAGAGACTACCAAGTCCGTATCATTAACGAGGGGAAACCATGAACTTCCGACTTACCATCCTCGTGAGGCGGGATCTGATCCGGGTGTTTCAGCGGCCTGCCCGTCCGGATGTTCTCCAGCTCCGTCATGATGTAGTGGCTTCGCTTGACAAAGTCCCAGAGCTGGAGGAGGGCTGGGTGCGGGTTCGGAGGGGTCCATTGCGGATGCTGCTCCATGGCGGAGGCGAGCGAGTCGAGCCGGGCGGTGATGTCGGCGCGGGCGGACTCGTCTGGGACTGGTACCATCGTTGCTGGTTGGTTGGATGCGCAAGAATTGAATCTATAATCTCCTGGAGTTGTCGAGGGACTTCGGTCTGGGGAGGAGGCCGAGTTTGCAAATCTACTGAGACTAATGGGATCTAGGACGGAAAAAGAGGTTCCAAACAACCCAAGCCGAGCTGGGGTTTCAGAACCGACGCGGATGATCTTCGATTCTTGGTTTCCCCTCCTTTGGGCTTTTATCCAAGAGGACCCTGGACATGGCTGTTACGTACGCGGTTTGGGACACTAGAAACAATGGGATGGAGATCAATGGCTCATTTGGCGCCTGATTCTGTTGGTGGTTTGGTGGCAGCTGAGTGCTGAACAAACGCTGTGAGGCTGGCGGTTACAGGGGGAGAGACGGGTAAGTACAGGCAGTGGAGGCACACGCTAAGAACCCACAGCAAGTCTAGCAGTCTCTTGGTTTGTTTTCTCATCTATTTCTTCAGCCGTGATGCCCGTCTCGTGAGGCTGGCGTGAAGACGTCTTCGTGCAATCTCAGGCACGTCTGTTTGGTATCACACGGACCATGCAGCCCCGGACAGGTGCAGACTGCTTGCCCTGTCTTGGCGGAACTTCGTGTGACGTAGGCGGCAGCCAATTGATGAGAATGGCGATATTGTCGGCACACTTGGCGGCTCACCACAGCCAGCCACCCATGGACGCGGGCGCCTATTTATGACTACAACCATTATCTCATGGATTAATGTTCAAAGCGCTCGATTATTTGCCTTCGGATACTACACCGAGGCGTTGGCTGGCCACTCACCGTGTACGCTCTGCTCTTGATCTGCGCGTTCCGCTGGTGCACGGAGTGGCGACCGTGGGCGTGAGATCAGCGTCCAACCAGAGGCCCAGCAACCACCGCAGTCCCCTGTTTTGCATGGCAGCCTCATGCTATGGCCCAAGCAACGCGTGAACTGTGAGTCGCCGGTCTGTGGCAAAACGTGCCTTCTAGCTAGGGGGCTGTCAGCGTTTCAGATGTGCTTCGGATTGCCACCACCATCAACGTCTGATTGACGTGAGTAGGAGCGAGTATATAACCAAGTCCGCTCCTCGCTGGGCTTAGACTACCTCGAGTTCCAAGATATTCTTCACTCAAACATAATTACCTTCGATTCAAACCTGGTGTTGACCATCAGCAGTCGATTACGATCTCGATTAATACTTCTCCCATAATCTTTTATTTACACAGAATTGCTGGGCAATTTCGACTCTATTGTTTAATCTGTACTATCTCTTCCCCCAGCTGACTGACCTTGACATCTACTGTCCACTTTAGCCAGTCTCACGGTTAATCAATTCATATCATCATGTGGTCATTCAAGAAACTCATGGGCCTCAACACCGAGAAGGGCATCTCCCTCCCCGTGGAGCAAACCAACCAGGGAAGCGCTGCTAAGCAATCCCACAACAGCGGCGACTGCATCCAGGGCCGAAGCGTCATCTCGGCCGCTCCCTGCGAGGACGACGAAGACTCCAACTACTCCGTCGCCCAGATGTTCGCGAGACGCGACGGGTACTCCAGGATCCCCCTCGGAGACGACGACGCAGAGGACGAGGAGCAGAACTTCAAGCCGAAGGACATCACCCCGGCCTTCAACGTGTTCCCCCTTTTCGGCGGCAACCGAAACCAGATGGAGGGCTACGCATCCGTGCCCCAGGTCTATGACGACCAGGCTGGGGATGCCGTCAAGGCAAGGGCCGGCGATGCTCCTTACGGCATGGTCGACGAGGAGAGCGACAGCGATGACGACCGGTCCTCGCAGGGTGACCACACCCAGGACAACCGAGAAATCGGCAGCACCTGGGGGGAGAGCACCGCCTATTCCTACTCTCACTAAGCTTGAGCTTGAATGGCCACCATAATATACAGTCATGACTACACTATTTTTGCAACCTTCCCGTTTCCTTTGTTTTATATGTTTTGCCGATCCTTGAAGGGAATGGAGACGGCGTGGGAGGAATGTAATTTATACCCAACACCAGGGCGTTTAGATGGATAGATTGTACACTTGAACGCCTATTGAATTAGGTAGAGAGCCTGGAGCTTTGATATGAGGAAACGGATTTATGAAAACAAACCGCTTGAGAGTAGATCTCTTTCAACTACCTATGTTCACTTCGTCTCGCGCATGTATCGACGTTGCTCTGTGAAGCTACTTTTCCCTGTTCCGTTGAGGACTAGTTAGCTTAATAAGTTTGCGAGGACCGTGGGAACTAGTGCTATTTTCTACTTAGACAGTGCCATGCTGCAATCAGGTGCTCATAGATCCCAGAGCATGTCGAGAGAATCCATTGTTTGCTCAGCAGTGCGAAAGGATAGATTAGATAAGATAAGCTAACGGCAAACTATTTCCCACTACGGACGAACCACATCCCGAAGTAGGACTTCCCCCAGCGGCTAAACGGATTTGCTTGAGGGTCGAGATGGTTCCAAGAGCCTGAATAATTACTTTTGGCTAGCTTCAGCCGTGTTGGTATGTGTTGTGCGGCTGTCACCGTGGTCTTAGTTGATTTCATTGATCCGTTGGGGACCAGCTAATTCGGGAGGGGCCTATAATAAGCCACCCCCGTCCCTTGTACCTCATCAAGAGTTAGGTGGAATGCAGGTGTAGCGCCGATGGCAGCGGCTATGTCTCCTCCCCAGATCGACGGCCAGCGCCAGAGATCACAGCTTCTCGCGTTGAATCCGCTCGCTTAGCACATTACACGCAGCCAAGGACCCGGATTCCTCGTCCAGCTAGCAGATTTCACCCATCCGGAAGACACAGGATCCGAAACTAGACCGCCCTGCTGCCCGTCCAGTTTGCCCTTTCTCTGGTGCAGAAGTGAGAATGCGCGGTGCAGGTGCCACACGGGAACGAGTTGATGATGCCATCACCAGCACAACCACCCATATTGCCCATCCTTGCCTCGTGCTGTCCTTCTTCACCCGTTCCCGAGCGTGCTGGTTCAACAAAGAATCAATTCTATGACTTCATTGGGCGCCTCCGGCTTTTGGGTTTCCCCTGCTTCAAGGCGTCGCCTTATCGCAGCTGCCAAATCCCAGGCCGGGCTACAAGCAAGGTACCACGGCCGCCATCACCATTTCTATGACGCCTACTGTAGCCCCAAAGTACAGGACCCCCAGGCGGCTCTCCACTTAATCCAATGCCACTACCGACCAGATCGAAAACCTCTGACGCCTACACTTTTCCCTCAGAGCTCCGCCATTGCTCTTAACAAGGCCCATGACATTCTCTCCACGCAGCTGCGGCGCGCCCTGAGTCCCCTCTTGTCCGCCGGATCGGTCTCGCATTCAGCTAGCATCCAATTGCCCAAGAGATCCAGTCCGTCCATGACTCTGGATTGGTAAGATCTCCTGGTGTATGACGATCCTATCCTCTCCTTCATCCCCCTCCCTCTCCCAACTCCCCCCCTTTGAACTTGCACTTTGTATATTCCTCTTCCTGCCTGCTTAGACCGTCGTAAAACGCAAACATTTCCCACGAGCATGTTCGCCGACCGATTCGGGCCAATGTCCTCCTCGTAAATACCCTGGCCCTCTGCGCTACAATCCGATATCGACGCCTTGCCCAGACTCATGCATGAGCGGCTCCCCACCAGCTGGTCCTCGCATCTTGGACTCCGCCGCATGGTCCATGGGCCTGCAACAACGTCGTAACCGTCACCACCCGCCGCTTCATAGACCCCCTCGCCGCACAACGAGACAACAAGGAGTGTCCGTCACAGGCTGGGCCAGGGGAAAACTCGCAACGGCGCCGCTCACACCCCCCGCGACGTAGCTGGCTACACCGTCTTTGATCTTTTTTTGAAGGGGCTGTCTACATAACTTGCACATAATTATCTAGGTACATCTCTGCCTTGACTGTTTTGTCTGCCAAACTCTAGTCTGAATCAGCCCAGGCCCTCCGCGAGGTTCATGTCACCCAGCCAGCCAGAAGTGGTCGCGGCTCGTCCTCTGACTGGTCCCCGAGAGTCGCAGGGCCAAGAAGGGGCGATTCCGCCCGCCACCACCACCAGACCCGAGCAGCGAGCGCAGGCCAGGGACATCGTGCGACTCTTCCAATGCCGGCTCTGTTCCTTCCCGCTGCGAGATCCAGTCACCCTCCCGTGCGGCCGGAGCATATGCAAGCAATGTCTCCCCCAATCCCACCTCCGCCTCCATATCTCATATCCGGCCGCGCCTGAGCGACTGCAGGGCTTCCAATGCCCCTTCACAGATTGTGGCCGTGAACATGCTGTCGGAGACTGTGGGCTGGATGTTGTCCTCAGCAAAACGACCGAACTGGTCAAAGACAATATGGCGCGCGGGAAGGCCGAGGCTGCAAAGGTCAAGATGTCGACTCGCATTGCCGTGCGCGATGAGTGGGAGATAGCTGGCATTCCCTCTCTTCGCTCGCCATCACCCACGTCCGAGATCTTGCTTGGAGGGAGGCTGGTTGCTGCGTGGAGCATGGCAGAGAACGGGCAGCTCGACTTTGACGCCGAGGTGGTGTACCACGACGTGGATGGGGAATCGGACGACGGTAACTTTGCCGAGTTCGAGCTGGAGGCTCTGCACCAAGTCCAAGAAGTCGCGAGGACTGAGATGGACTGCCAGATATGTTATGCTCTCTTCTTCGATCCGCTGACCACACCTTGTGGCCATACTTTCTGCCGATCATGCCTACACCGCATTCTCGACCATTCGCTCTACTGCCCAATTTGCCGTCGCAAGTTGGCCATGAATCCGTTGCTGAACCGAATAGCGTGCCCCGCCAACGAAAGACTCGACCTGATCATTGAAACGTTTTGGAAGGAAGAATTGCATGCCCGCCAAGGCATCCTGGAGGCGGAGGAGATTGGGCGGCATGAATCTCTAGATGTTCCTCTCTTCGTCTGCACACTGTCCTTCCCCATGGTCCCAACATTCTTACATATATTTGAACCAAGGTATCGTCTCATGATCCGCCGGGCTGTGGAAGGTAACCGTATGTTCGGCATGGTTCTCCCAAAACGAGCGCATTTTTCGAGCGACCGAGAATTCCACGAGCTGGGCACGCTCCTTCGCATTGTCAATGTTCAGTATTATCCTGATGGGCGAAGTCTGATCGAAACGATGGGCATATCTCGCTTCCGGGTGGTTGAGCACGGGATGCTCGACGGTTACACCATTGGGAAGACAGACCGGATTGATGATGTCAGTCTCGAAGAGGAGGAGGCCCTGGAAGCAAGAGAAGTTACACCGGCTACTTCACCCCAGTCTGAATCGACGACAAGCGAGCATGGATTTCCGGATTTGGCTGCGCAAACTCAAGCCCCTTTAGCTCTTGAGGACTTAACTCTTGAGAATCTGGAAGATATCGCTCGGTTTCCGACAAATCAGTTGCTTGAGTTTGCTCTCAACTTTGTGGCAAGAATGAGAGCGAATAGCGTCCCCTGGCTGACGCAGCGCATGTTGCAATTATACGGAGAATGTCCCGACGACCCCACCATCTTCCCGTGGTGGCTGGCGAGCATGTTGCCAGTCCGGGAATCCGAAAAATATAAACTGTTAGAGACGTCAAGTGTAAGGGAAAGACTCAAAATCTGCTGTCGGTGGATTAAGGAATGGGAACAATCCAGATGGTGAGTTGTTTGCCCCGAAACAGTACCCCTTTTGTTACCTACCCCTTTCCATGACATCATCGCCACAAGGCTGTGTTTTTGCGCTTTCCTATCATTGCCCTTTCCCATGCTCCCAGATCCGTCATTGTTATATGATCTGATCTCTGACACTCGTCAGACGAATCGGCCGTCGCCAAATCTATCGTCGCTCGATCAAGGGACTGCCAAATGGTCCTGCGCTACAACCAGGGTGATGTTATGGTGATATTGACAGGTTACATAGGTCTTTCCGAGATTGCACCATTCTATAACGCGGTTCCCCTCATTCCACCCTTCTCCCTCAACTTCGCTCGCGAAGACTACATCGTCAGCAGATGTGTATGATGGGCTTCAATAACACACAACTCACTACGTCCCTGGTCCTTGCACCTTCGCTCCTCTTAATCCCTGACCCCTTTACCATCTTCACAACTATATCCCACCATTTAACGAAAGAGTCGCCTCCTGAATCAGAGAAAAGCACAGAGAATCGCCAATGCTGCGTTACAAAGTTATGCTTGCTCATATTAAGGGCGAAGTAGCCCACAGTTTTTCGTTTTCTATTCCTCTAGATACCAGCTTCCATATATCTCTATTCCTTAGCGGTCGTTGTCCTTTTTGTTCAGTATTGGAATGGGCAGACGAACTACTGGTCTAACAAAACCTATTCAATTACACAATACACTTATCTCCCCCTCAATTGTGATCGCTTTGTTGTTACCATCCTTTCTGAATATCATCTCCGCAGATGACAGACGTCCAAAACAGTGATGGATATGTCTGTCAAGCGTCTGGAAGATTAAAACGCGGGGTCACATGATGATGAACCGAAACTCGGTCGTTGGGGAACTTTCTATGTCTATTACAGTCAAATCTATTATTATTCTTAACAGGAAATAGAGTACAATTATGGGGGATCCCCCAAACTTTGAATATATTAAGCAAAATGAGTCTAATCCTTCCAGCATTCTGGTCATCTACAGTGGATGATTTCCAGTTTGTACCGATATCTACTGAGATTGAACACCATGAATCGTTCCACTGTAGGCAACTACCATTTCGCCGCAGTGCTAGCTTCAGCCTGATTGTCTTCCCACCCCCCTTGATCAACCATGCCGTTCGTGTCAGCTGCAGCCGAAGTATCACCCCAGGTAGAGGGGAATGAGCCAGGCATAGCGCTGCCCTGCGGAGCCACATTGTTGTCTTCGTTCTCATTACTCCCACCCCAGCCACCATCGTTGTTGTCATTGTTTTCAAACGACGCCTCTTGGGCAGGTTCTGCTGATTCCCAAGCGTCATTACCAGACGGGGCTGCATCATCCCATCCACCGGCGCCTCCGTCGGCACCGCCTGAAGCCTCCGGAGCAGCTGCGTCACCCCAATTCGCGTTTCCATCTTGCGCATTGTTATCATTATTCCCAGACCAAGGATCTGGCTCAGGGTTCGTCTGCGGCGGAGACCCGGCCTGTGACTGTGCCCCATCTGTGTTTCCGTGATACCACGACGTTCGCCCGTTGTTACTTCCACCACTAGGCTCACCTTCCTTGGAACCCTGCTGGCTGCCGGGCGGCGAAATTCGTTTACCCCAGTCTGCGAAGACTGAGGTTCGGTTGTTATTGTTCTGATGGCTGGTTAGCTCAGGCCCCTTTGCGAAGGCGACTCTCTTCTTTTGTCTTGCCTTTTCTGACGCCTGCCCTGAATTGTGGCCTGAGCCGGCCTTTGCGAGCGCATTCTTCTGAGCATTCAGCTCCGCGGAGTCATGCCAAGCGCCTCTGCTATTGAAAGCACTGGGGTTTGCAAGTGCTGGGTTGAAGTTCTCATAGCCCATGGCTGGAGGGGGATACGCGGCGTGCCAGGCATTCACCGGCGGCATCCCTTGTGTAATCGGCACATTGTTGAAATCACCTGCCTCTGGTTTCTTCGGAGGTAGATTATTGAAGCCGTAATAGTATGGATTTTGTGTCGGGTGAGGCATGCCAACGGGTAAGGGACGCTTGGTTGAATCACGCTTTGGATAGAGTGACCGAGTAGGATTTCCACCATAAACAGGTCCTTGATACACTCGAATGATGTTGTTCTCGGCGTCATAGAAGGCGTTTGGTGGTGGATCTTCAGGTGTCTCAATCACTCGTTCGGTCTGTACGACCTCGGCGCGAACAGGAGCAACATAATTTGGACGTCGAGGGTGTGGAAGGGGATTAGCTTCTGGATAATTTCTCTTATCGGAGCGGTCTGCACTGGCCGGTTTTGCAGTCTTTGGAGCTTCTTCTTCTTTGGCGCTCCGTTTCTTCTTCTCAGGTTTGTTGTCCTCTTCTTCACTCTCGTCGCTACTCTTCTTAGACTTGGAAGTCTTCTTTGCTCTCCGACTTTTTGCCTTCTCTTTCCGGATCTTCTTCTTTTTCTTCTCCGCTTCTCGCTCAGACTCTGAGCTGCTTTCCGCTGAGGATACCGATGTCTCTGTGTCAGATTCCGGAATAGGCTCCTCCTTCTTGGTGGCGCGCTTTCTGAGTTTCTTGCTCTTCACTTTAATCGAACTGTCAGTCTCTGATCCAGAATCGTCTTGGCTCTCAGAATCGGACGAAATCTCCGCAAGTCGACTTTTCCGAAGGCTTGCTCGACGCCGTCTCAACTTCCTGCGGCCGCCGCCATTACTCTTCCTCGACTCACATTTAGGGGGTGGTGGCTCATAGTCGCTGTCTGTACTCTCTCCCTCCTCAGAGGTCGACTCAACGTCCGTCGAGCCCTCCGAGCTCGTCCCAGGCGATTCCGTCGACGATTGAGCCGAGGACGCAGCATCCGAAGACGCAGCCTCCGAGGACGAACCCTCCGTGGCAGAATCCGAGGGCGACGAGGCTTCCTCAGATCCTGAGCCGGGGTCGACGATCTGAACCCTCTTCTTTAGCGCAGATTTCAGAGGAACCTGCTCTTGGAAACGAACTTTCTTGACCTCTCTCCGAGGCAGGTCCCCGCCGGGCTGTGTGCGTGGGTAGGTAATCTTCATGGTGTCCTCGCCGGACTCGTCGTCGGTGGAGAGCTCGACCCGGAGGAGGCCTCGTCGGCGCGGCTTCTTCTTCTTCTTCTTTTCTGGGATTGGTCCCAGGGCAGACTCGATGGTGGTTCCGACAACCCACTCATAGAAGGTCGGAGGGTACTTCTTCTTTTTCGTCATTTTTGCGGAGCAATACAATTGTAATCAAGATGATGACAGAGGCTTTCTGAAACAAAGGCGGTTCAAAACGATGGAACAAGTAGCTTTGAAATATAGCAACAAGGTTGAGGTATGGTTGGGTTGACGATGGAGGAAGAGGGTGAAAGAAAGATGAGCAGAGAGGGTGGCTGGTTTAAGGTACAAGACGAATGACGGCCCGTTTTCCAGCTTCTTTCTCGGGCGCTGCTGAGAAGGTGTTCAGCTGTCCACGGACGCTGCACCTAGCACACCCAAGACGCCCTCAGTAACGCAAAAAGATCGCAATCAATGTGTAAGCCTGTGCCAATGGCAATGGCAATGAAAGTTGGAGTTGCAAAATAAATATTCGTCCGGTAGAAAAGCCAGATCTTGTTCACGTTCGTCCCAAGTTACATGTAGGCATGGGGGACCTCTGCTACAGTCGGACTGAAGAGGACGGGTCACATGCACCTCGCGTCAAATATGGACATGTGAATGATTACAAGGCCTAAAATATCCATTACCCTTTGAAATTAAAAGACCATTCTAATAGATCGTGCCTGCCTAAGCCCTCTTCTTTGGAGATTGAGGGAAGTCGCATTTGAAGATGCGGACCTCCATAGGTGCAGGTACCTACTGCCTTGAAGCCGCTTATTCTACCTAACCCAAGGTGACAGGCAGCACTTATTCCTCCAAGGCTTGCGTCACTGGTAAAGATAAAGGTCTACCTAGCTCAGGCGATAATTTTTTCGCCAGGCGTCCAGTCACTGCTTCAGGCTACCCACTCAGAATGGTGCTGAAAGGGTACTGCAGATTTCTTCCCACTTACAAAATCTACGGATTGATACAGTTGACCTATTCACGTTCAAACTCATTTAGTGAGGATTCTGTCGGATTTGAATTTCTGAGTATCTCAAGGGGCAAATCAAGTAGCACGTTTGTAGTTACACCAATCCTTCCTCATAGCCCCTTTTCGCCTTTCTGAACTCCACTGCCACCAGGTGTATACTCAATTCGCAAATTCGTACTGTCGTTTCACATGGCCACTTTTGCCCGAGAGAATCCCTTCAACTGGTCAGTTTTTGTCATGCAATGGTTGAGCGAGGATGTGTATGCACTTACGAAGTGTGCTCAAAAGTCGTCAGACTAGTTGGGGAGGCGCACGGCATAGAACCACCCTTCGTCTGTGACATACCAGCGGCAATCACCCATATGATCGATAGAAAACCGGTTGCGCTGGGTCCAGTTACCATCAAGCTCCCGGACATAGTAAAAACGGGATGGGTCATCATCAGCAGGCTTGAAGTCCTGCGGCTCAAAAAGCCTGTTTTGGTGCGCAAACTGGTTTTGCCGCAAGATCTCCTCTCCTTGAGTCCGACCCAGCCCAGGAAATTCAGGGGCAGGGACAGGGTTACCTGCAATGATCGGAGGCTGGCCTCCGATGACAGCTTGGCCCGCTGGGATGAAAGCCTGCTGAACCTGAGGTCCGGCAGTCATCATAGGCTGGCCATTGAGCATGACCGGCTGCTGAACATAGCCAGCCTGGGGCTGGACGACATAGGTAGGCTGCTGAACGGGCACGCCATTGACTCCCTGAGACTAAATATAACATGATGAGTTAGCAAACGATTATTTCAGAAGTTGTTTCAGATAAGGTAAAGAATAAGGGGTATCGAGAGTGTCAGATTGTGAGGAAGAGAGGTATGGAGGTATCAAGGGTATCAGATTGTAGGAAAGAGAAAGGTGATAGAGGCATCGAGGATATCAGACTATAGGGAAAAGGCAGGCTATGGAAAGGGTCAAAGTGTAGGGAAGGGAAAGTGTATGGAAAGGGTCAGAGTGCAAGCGAGATACTGTCATGCGCAAGGACTCATCCAGGGAAGTCGACGGAACAAAGCCATCGGACACGCGACAACTGGTCGACTGACATAATAATAATATGGGCGGTTCATCGCATACTGTTGTGGCATTGGGACATTGGCGATCATAGTGGTGTTGACAGGGGCACAATTGATAAACGAAGAAGAAGGGTAACGGACAGCAACATTGCCAACGGGAACAACGCCCCCGTCAAAGCGTGGAACGTAGAGATGGTTCATGGGCCCCATGCTGGTGTCGGGGACGGGCGGCTGGAAGTTGAGTCCCATGGGAGGAGGGCAGGTGTTCTGATAGTCGGCGGCCATGGCGGTGGTTTTTTGCTGCACGAGATAGCTCTGCTGAGTTGGAGGATAGATGTAAGTTACTGGCTGTAGGTGAATGTGAGCATGTTGAGTCAAGTTGGAAGTGAGATTGGGGTGAGGGCTACCTGAACAGTCGCGGTCTGCGCTTGTTGTTGCTGAGGGAAACTGACGCTCTGGCTTGCGTTGGTCGAAGTGAACCACTGGCCTGGACCGAGACTGGAAGGAGGCACCAAGGCAGGAAAGCTGGTTGGCTGAGTAGGAGTGGCAGCGGCTTCTGTTGCAGGAGCTGGTGCCTTGTTGTCGGTGATGTTGGCTTGGAGGTTGTTGAGTTTGGCTGCAGCCTGGGCCGTTTCGCCAGCTGTTGTTGTTTGGAAATGCACGTGTCGACTTGACGGGTCGGCACTAGGTGTCTTCACGCGTCGGGGAGTCTTGGGAGATTTGTGCCCTGCTCCTAGCTCAGGCATCTCTTGGGGGTGGGATGAGAGAAACAAAAGAATGTAGAGGGAGAAGAGGTGTTGTTTGGGGAGAAGAGGAGTGGGTGGTGGAGGAAGAGGTAGAGGAAAGGTGAGAGGGAAGGAGGAGGGGCTGGCAGAGAAAAGGGCGGAGAGACGGAGTGGAGGTCGGAGCAAGAAGGCATCAATCAATCTGAGAGCAAGGTGAGGGCTTGCTCAGACTTGCTTCAGATCCTGCCAACAATCACATGCAATCTGAGGCGTCGACGCTGGGCAGTTGTGGACAATCACATTCGGTTGGCTAGGGCTGATCCGTCGGAAGATGGGATGGGCATCACACCGCACAAATATGGCCGGGACAATGGATCGAGCATCAGGGTTTTCTCTTCTCAGCGGCAGGCAATCACCTACCGTGCGTTGTAGTGCCCAGCAGTTGTTGCCACTTGGAACCCAAGCCGCATGTTCGGGGAGCTGAGAGACTGCGTCCAATGGATCCTCGTACCGAGCCCAAGCCCACTGGAAACAAGGTAGACACATCTTGGGTGGTTTTCGTGGAATTTCGTTGATTGTGTTGTTGAGAGGCAGTTTTCGATATCAAAAATGGGAGGAAGGTGGAAAGAAGAAAGAAAGACTGATCGTGCTGACCAGAATTCAAGGCATGAGATCACTGGAGGGGAAAACAAGAAGCGTCTTCAGAGAACCTAGTACTCTTTTTATAAATAAATCACTTACCTTCTGATATCATTCCACCAAGTACCGCTACAGAAAGATGAACAGGCACTCGTATACACTTCAAAAATATGTAGTATCTACCTTGCTGTTGAACAGCTAATACGGGCAGTCTAAGAAACATCATGCACCGCATCCAATAGCCATAGTGCCTTTAGAATACATCCGAACGATTTCGTAAATCCAACACTTAATGGATTACCCTTTACAATTACTGACGACCTCGAAAGCCCAAATCCGTCCCCCTTTCTCAACATCCACTTTGCCCACACTTCGTTCAGACACAAGACGAGAAAACATGGAATCCCGTAGCCCTCATTGGCGTGACCCTCTCATCTTCACAGATCTGACCGCCTTTTGAGTCTAATGTTCATAGAAAGGCGCGTGCTTCTTCAGTGCCTTACCGAGCGCACACTCCCGGTCCTTCTCGTCGTCTGATCGTTCTGCGAGCAAGGCATCGACAAGTGCCAGCTGCTCCTCAGTGAGCTCCCCATCCGTATCTCTGCTCTCGTGTCTCTCGATCAGAGTCTTCACCCGAACGTATATGCCGTAAGCCTCGACCTTCTAAGCCTGGTCATAGCAATAAGAAGTCAGCCATGTTTCTGAAGTATGTGCAAGGACTTCACGCACCCGAGCCAAAACAGGCATCTTCCGCCGATGGAAACACTCCCTCATCTCTCTCAACTGATCCTTCCTCTTGAACGGCTTCCAGGCACCCGGGCTCCGATTGCTCTCGATGGAGGGCTGCATCGGCTCTATAGCCTTGAAGACTACGCCGCAATCTCTGCCACCCGGCGCGGGATCCTCAAGACGCATGCACTTCAGCCTTTCCAAGAGTTCTGCTGCCTCGAGTCGATCTCCTGGCACCCCGTGCTCCATGATCCAATCCAGTCTCTGGCGCATGCAGTAGAGCAGGTAATCAGTCTCATTCCCATCCTGGGCATCCCAAGATTCGAACATAGAGAGAACGGTCTGGATATCCGTGTAGTAAGGAAGCGGCTCGAAGGACAAGAGTAGGCTTCCGTTCCCTGCGAGGCGAAACATGATGATGCTGCAGTTTGCCCGGGCCTGCTCTGGTTTACCTCGTCGCCATCCTCGCTTTGTTGCCACGACCTTTCGGACGACTTCGGAGGAATGCATAGTTGGGAAGTCTGAGTATGCTTCAAATTAGCACCAGAGTCCTACTCATGAGAAAGACAGCTTCATGGGCCAATCTTGACACACCAGAAGCTACCAGCTGGACGCCAGTCTCTTGCGATCAAAGAAAATGATGTTTGAAGGTTCAGGGTGAAAGATGGGCATCGATCGTGACAATTGTTATGATGAGTTGGGAATGATAGTCAGCGAAGGAAGATTCCCATATTTTGTTATGATTATTTCGTAGAACCAGCCCAGCCCGCTGCCGACTCGGGAACGGCTGTTGGCAGATGCGTAGGTCCGTTCAGCTGGGAAACAATTGCAGGCTGCCCACGCCCGAAATTGCACCTGCTGAACTGGAACCACAGCACATCTTCTCAAGTTAGCTTTGTGGTGCCTGCCATTTCCAGAAGCCTAGCTTCCGACTGCCTCCTTTTTTTCTGCCTCTCTCTGTCCAACTGATAAACCGCCAAACACCTATCGAGCCAATGAAAGCTCAAAAGCAGTCAACCCCGGCAACTAAGCATATATTCCCAAGGGCGAATCAATATGAAAGCATTTTACGCCTGCCCATCAAGATCACAGCCACGATTTCCTGATGAGTATGACATGAAGATATCCAACCACCCTGTAATATCACCTACGAGGATCATATAGGCTTTTAGCATTTACGAAAAGACAATGGTGGATTATCTTCAGTAATGTACAAGAGCCTGAGTCATATTTAGTTATTCCTCTTTCATATCAATCATACAGTAAAACATCCCAGGTCAGACACACCACAGCACCTTCACCAAAATGTGATCATCGTGTAGAGAATGCAACAAATCCTTGCATTTTGAATCAGACGCCCCAAAGCCCTCCATGGTCTATGCTCGCTGCCCGGGTGGTTTTGTTTAGCCTAAAATAATGTACAGTTTACACGTTGAAACTTTTTCGGTTCCATTGGAAGTAGAGATCGTCAACCCTCGTCATTTCGGTCCTCCTCATCATCAACCCCGTCCCTTCCCCTTTCAGCTCCTTAACAAGGCTGTAATAATCAGCATATACAATGAGATTGGGGAATAAAACAAAGATTGGCTTCGGTTCTCCCTTCGGCCCGCGCCACCTTTGGGAACGCCCCTCGCTATCGCTCTCCGTCTCTTTCGTTTGATTTGGTTTGGTGGGGGATTGAGTTTTTCTCCCCGCGTGGTAGTTGTTGGGCATTATTTTTTCTATATTGGCACAGTCTCCGTACGACATGCCTCTGGTGAACGTATTAAAAGAAACTCATAAATATTACAGAGAGTCCGAGGTGTCGACATGTGCTTGTTCCGGGATGGGGAAGAATGTGCGACGAACAACCTGGAACTCCGAATTAGTATGCATGCCAAGACGACACAATTGAAACATCTCAATGATGTTGAAAGAACCATAGGCAAAGACACTTACCGTCCAGACAGCAGCCACCGAAGCAACCAGACCACCGGAAATCATCATGGGGCGGACACCCCGCGTGCTCTTAAAGATCATGCCGCTCAGACCACCAGCAACCACCGAGTTGGCGGCATCGTGCTTTCCTCGGAAAGACCCGATGAGGGAGTTGATGCAGTTGTACACAATCGCAACGACGCCGGCCGAGTTGCCCAGGAAGGGCCCCCTCCGGGTGACTGCGTTGAGGACTGAGTTGAGCTGCAGCTTGGGCGCCTGGCCCGCTGACCGCCTGAGACCCTCCTGCAGACCCCAGGCGCCTCCTATCGACAGGCCGGAGAGGTAGGTGATGCCGGTGCCGTAGCAGAGGTCATCTGTGAAGCCGCGCGAGGGGAGGACGGACTGGCCGCCGGGGAGATCGGAGAGGACGGAGTCCTCGAGGGTGAGGTACTCGAGGGAGTCCCTGTTGAGGCCGGCAAGAGGATGCAGCTGTGAGGGGTCGGCGAATGTGGAGGACTGGAGGAAGCTTTCGACGCCATGATCCTGCGAATCGTCATAGGACGGTGAGGGCGAGGAGTATGAGGTCTGGGTCTGAGGCTGGGTCTGCTGGGTGGTTTGGTGGGCAGGCTTGTTGCCGCCGGTAAAGGCGTTCCAGATCGACGACATGGCAGCGATATATGTGAGGTACCACCGAATTGGACTGGGTGTGTCGTTGGAATTGCAGAGGGATATGGGGACCGGGCCCTTTCGAGGTGCTTTGGCGCTGGGGGGGAAGTTGGCGATGATGATAACTGGCTCCAGACTGGGCGTTCGAAAAAATTCGGCGCAAGCCAGTTCGATGCGCTGAATTCTGACCCACCATCGGCCAGAATCTCCGACTTACCAAGTCCTTCTCCCGGCCATGGCTGAAGGGAACCACACGTGACTCTAGAGCTATTCCAAGGTGGGCCTAGCGCCACAAAACTTTCTTTGCGATCACATAAATTGCTTCGCAGCAGACCTCAAATTTTTCCTTTTCCTTTCTTCCTTCTACATCATCAGTAAGGGTTATTACTGCACCGTCAAGTGTTTTAATAATTTCTTATTACGGCGGCTCCGCGAAAGCGGCTTGCTGAGGGTTACTCATGATTCCCTGTGAGTTTCCTTCCGTTCCCGGCCTCCCAGAGTAAAGTGACCACCTTTCCTACCAGCCGCGAGAGTCTATTCGAAAGTCTCGTGACTGTGGGGTGGTCTCGACATTCTTTTCAAGAATGCACGTAGCAGTAATTCCACTCGTCGTAAGCCAACTAAGGCGAATTATGTCATTCTGAGGTCCAACGGTCATGATCTGTTGCAGACGTGCAAGCGTAAGCATCAAAGTTTGCCGTGGCCTCACAATACCGTGGATATGCAGATCCTTATGGTTCCATGTCACCGCGCGCCACAAGGTCGAAATTTTACTGCTGGACGACGATGTTCCAGTTTTCGTCGTTGTGTTACGTCTGGCCTGAGTAGATGTTATGACTCGCCAAAGTCAGCACGGCAGCGCAAAAGCTAGGTATTCCATCGAAATTCCGATTAAGATGGTTCGAAGCTATCTACTATCTCTACATGAAAAATTAGAAGAGATGTGACAATATTAACCAATCTAGAATACATCAGTATGTTTCAGAGATATGTTCGGGTCCGTATTTTTTCCCAATCTGCTTTTTTAAAATTTCAAAATGCCACCCAGCAAATCACAACGCCCAACCATGGTTTTGATTTTTTTCCATTTTCCTTCCGTGTCCAACCAATCACCAAAAGCGGCGCGAGAAATGCGCACCTAGTCGTGCCTTGACAGCAAAGGACGAGGTTCCCAATCGATGTCTTCATCTTCGATAGCTCGATCGTTGGACGAATCAATGTCAGAACTGTCTCCATCACTGCCAGATTTGTCGTACATAAAGTACTGCGCAAAGACACCGAGGTCCAGGAGGAGGGTCACCAATGCTCCCGCCACCCAGCTGAGGTTCACCAGAATGTACTTGCCGTAGATCTTGGCAGCCTCGCCGGGTTCGCAGGTTTCATTCTGGCACTTGGGATCATAAGCGACGATAGAAAGAACATAGGTTAGGTTGCCTAGGCAGGCGAAGAGGAAGAACAGCATGCTAAGCCCATCCGTAGTCTTGCGCCTCCAGTTCAAGATGAGCTGGGGTAGTCTCGAAGCAATATAAGATACGGCGCAGAGCCATCCGAAGAATTGACCCAGCGCATTGAACTCGGGAGGTTCGCTACCCTTTGGTGGTGAATCTCCATCACCGCTTGTGGCCTTTTGTCCCAAAAACCAACCCAACACGCCAGCAGCGATGACCATAAGAATAATGGTGGTGTTCCAAATCAAGGTCTGGAGGATCGTGGGAGGGGAAGGCGGGGTAGGAGTAGTGGGAAAGTGCGGTACAGCTGGAGACAACCCTGACCAGTCTGAACCTCTTCGCTCGTTTATTCCCAGAATTGGCGACGGGAGAAGAGACGTTCGTTCGTTCGGCTCGCCGTTGGGAAGAGTGTCGTTGCGCTTTGGAGAGGCCGGCTCGTCACGCCACGTGAACCCGCGATAGTAAAAGCATTGAAGCAAAAGCACGAGGTCTGCGATGGTATAGTAGAAGGCCAGAATGATCTATACACGGCCATGTTAGTCCACAATGCCTGTCTGTACGGCCATGGGCCAAGAATGTGCAGGGAATTGGCGAGAGAATCGTACCATGGTGGGGAGCACACCCTGCAGGATCGCGCCCAGAATGTTGAAGACATCACCCAGGAGCCATATTATGACGAATTGCACAGAGAGTGCGTCTGCGCTGCTTTTCTGGAAATTTTCGATGATCTGCGGGGAGAAAACGACGACTTGGGTCAGGTCAGCCAAATGTAACCATCAAGGGACAGGCAGGGAGACTGGACAAACCCCAGCAAGCGATTGAGACCGATCTAGGGGACAAATTAGTTAAATCGCAGTAAAATCAGATGGACAGGGACGAATAACCTACCCGCAGATGCCAGAGATGGCCTCAACATCGAGGTTGAGGCTCTGCGTAGGAGGAACCATGGCTGCGGTATGGATGCCGAGGGGAGCCGCAGATGCTGCATGCGCTAAGGGGAAGATGCAGGACAGCCCCAGACGAGAGAAAGTGTGGGGGAGCTATAGCCGTCGCTCGGGCAGCCTGGAGAATTGCATCTACTGTAGTAGAATCGAGCTCAAGAGGTGGCTCGATATGTCCTCCCAGGTTGGTCCGCAGAGGAAGAAAGGTGGAAGATGAATGAAAGTTGACCACCGCGGGAAGCCGAAATGGTGACAGACTTTTCAAGGATTGTGCCACACTCTCGTGGTTACGTAGGTAGGAATTGCATTTTGCCTGTGCCTCCCCTGGTCCCATGATGATCTAGAGCTTTCACGTACTAGTACCGTTACAGTATGTCCTACCCTGCAGCTCCCTGTCTCTCATGCCAGCATTCGCATCGATGCGTCAGAGACAAAGCTTAAATTTGTCAGGGGTGCGAGCCTTTCCGGGGGGGAAGATCAGACACGACGCGGCGATCGAACACGAGAGGATTACGGATCCTGCGTCAACGAGGACCTGATGATCCATCTGGCAGTTCATCCGTAATCTTCACATTGCTCCACGTGCTGGGGTGAACATGTATCCGCTGGAGCCAATTGTCATCTCTGAAGACCCAACTCATCTTATTCTGACACATATTTCTAATGAAATCAACTACTATGTAAAGGAGTGTGCTGACGGGTTTTGGATTATATTTCCCTTGAAATTATCCATCCCCGCCTTAGTGAAGGCAAAAAGGGCTGTAGTTGCTTCCTCACATCCTTAAAGTTGGCCAAGGTCCAATTCATTTTCTTTCCGGAATGCATTAAGCCAACCTCAGTCATTTGTGCAACGAGTGCTCGAAAAGCTAGTTGGTTGGACCTGCCGAACATGGTATATTTCGAGAGCTGTATCGAATTAAGTGACGTAGGCAGAACAGGCCAGGGACACGTCTGGATAAACGGCTCCTTTGATTCCGATTATGCAGTATAAATCAAAAACATCTACCTATGCCGAGTTTAGTCCACTCTCACCCTTTTACACAAGAACCCGCCACCACTGCTATCCATGTATTCCAAAGATCAGGCTGCTCATCCCAACTTTTCCAAAGGAAAAATCTGAACCCTTGTCTGAACACTGCCCCCGCATTGGCGCTTCCTGTATGAGCTAAAGGGAGCCGACCAAGCAGCTCCAAGAACAGAAAGCAGATAATTACCAAACTTGGGTGATAAATTCCGACGGTATCACCAGCACTTGTTGTGGACTGACCCATAACTGATTGTGTATTCAGGGTTGAGGATGACAGTGTAACGAACCTTACATTCTTCGTTACTAAAGAAGTTCCAATAGTACTGATTTCCGTTGTATAACGGGGTCGGTGCATGGAAATACGACTCTGAACGACCGTTGCCAGCGGAGATATCTTCAACTTGAGCTGTGTAAGTGTCTGCATCGTACTTGTCAGGGGGATCCTCATCCCACCATCAAGTTTTCTCTGTTGGCCATTCGACCTAGCAGTGCCAATGGACTCTGTTAGTCGTGCTGAACTTAATGTGAGAAGCAAATCCTCTATTATCTGGGGCTCGACTATTCAGCGAGGCTTTCGGGCTAGCGACAACTATATACTCATTTCCGCGCAATAGACTAGCTAAGTAGCAACCGGAGAGCTCACAACTTGGTGCCCAACCCATCCATCTCCATTCCTCAAGTCCTCACGCATATCATGTCGTGCATGTACATTGGAACCAGTGTTATTGTATACCAATCCACAACCAATTAGTTTGGTCACACAATTGGCCTTGGTCATGATAGGATTTGCTCTTATATGGCATCTCAGAACTACTCATTTTTCATTCCTCTTTTCTCAGCCATTCCGTCCCCCATCCATAGCATAGTTACTTATCAATATGGCAAACACTTCTTTTAGCTTCTGCATCCTTGTGGGACTGCAAGCATGCGCTGCCGCTCAACTGTGCCGCTTGCCAAATGGGCGCAGGGCTTACTCTAACTCCCCTTGCGATGAGACAGTAGAACACAGCATGTGCTGTGAGAGAGCAATAGGAAGGGAGTGTCTTTCCAACAAACTTTGTCTACTTTTGGACGGAAGATTGGTACGCAGCTCTTGTTCTGGCGATACTTGGGACACGGCAGCGTGCGGCAGTCATTGTCAACATTCAGGTCAGCCCTCTCCCACCTTATATCCGTGGTCTACCTTCGATAGCTAACCAGAAACCAAATATACAGATACGATAGGAGACGACCTTGTTTCGTGTGTCAATGTGACCAACAGGGGCAATTCTTTTTGTTGCGAAGACACCACCAATTGCTGCTACAGCAGTGCTGAACGATTCGAAGCACAGCCCCTCAATGCATTGCCCTAGGCTAAGTATGACGCCAAACTAGACCGCTTCCGCTCGACTAACACAGAGGATACGAGTGGCTCTAGAACCATTATATACGTGGAAGGCTCATCGACATCTAGTAGCTCTTCAGACTCTGGAGCGCCGGGGCTGTTGGTTTCGGAGAAAATTGGCATTGGTGTAGGCTCGGCTCTGGGTGGCATTCTTGCTGCGTTCTTCGCGTTCCTGTTGTGGAGATTTCACCAAAAGAACAAGAAGAATAGGCAAGTCGAAGAACCGGCAGTCGAGGACCCAGAAGCCTGCCAAAAGGACCATCTACCATTCGAGGTGGATAATAGCAGGCCAGAGCAGTCCGGGCCCCAAGAATTGGATCACGGGGAGATCCAAAGGGTGGAATTGCCAGCTCAAGTATAAAAGCGTTCTCGAGCTGCTATTTAATCAAACCAGTACCATGTTCTTCTATTGGCAGACGGATCGGTCATCGGTGATCTGGTTGAAACATAATATACACTTCCCCCTTCTTTTTCTATTACCTGCTTGGTGTTCACTGACAAAAAATGGCTTCATGTTTGCATCGAGCGATATAAGATAGTGTACGGATGAGGACAGCCCACTGCCTAAATGCTTCACAGTCCAGACTCAAATTAAAACTAAACTCCTCTCACGACGCACATGCTTTTTCGCCACGTATTTGTGTAGCCCATTTGGACATATTCTCCGCTGTAGAGTCGCTTCTTACTCAACTTCAATGGCTTAATCGTACCTGATAGTCTCTCTAAGAGTGAGTTTCTCCAAGAGTGAGGCTCCAAGGATTTGACTTCGCTCGCCATTTAATTCCATCCAGCATGCCCCTGTGGCCGTTTCAGGGGACCAACAAGGGGCAATGAATCGCTGGAATCGCCAAGTGCTCATCATGTTCGCAAAACAGCCCCAAAACCCTAATTAAAGTTCAAAACTGTTTATAATGCCCTTCTTGATTCATCGGTTCTGAAAAAGTGAAATCACAATAGCATACTATACTGTACCCATCTATGGACGGGTGTTGGTTTGAATACCGAGTTGACGTCTTTTCATTTCACTTCAGTGGGTGTTAGAAATAGAATACTCAATTCACCTTACCACACCCTCAATTCGGGTTGTTTTCTAACTCACTGTACGTATTGGAGGCCATCAAGGAGCTTCTCCCGAAGAAAGGACTTTCCGCAACCTGATACGCTGTAAAACAGTTTAGGAGCATCATGGCTCAATTGATGTCGCCTACAGTGAAGGAAATGATTGCATTGTTAGCAAGTTGTTATAATGAAGGTGAGTAAGATCAGTGGAAAAAGGCTAACCTCGGATTCTCGGCTCTGGTGAAAGTCTGTTTCCTTTCGGCAGCGTTAGTGTCCGCAACAGATTCTAGAGTCATCGCGAGGAGAAAGGAAGTGGGTCAGACCTTGGGGTCATCCATTCGCTCGTCAGCCTTCGAATGGCGGTTGAATGTCTTTCTAAGAACCACATCGACAGCCATGTGGGGATCCGTTTCAGCAAGATAATCTTCCCACGAGAAATAGCTGTGGAAGAGTTCATCTAAGTCAGGTATTGTCGGGGTCGGCTCATTCACTGGCTGATGAGCCGGGTTCTCGGACTCTCGACGTTCATCTTCTTCAAGATCAGACACATCACGAGCGTCATATACCACGGACACATTCTTGTATGCCCTCACACTTTCATGACGGTAGGTAACTTTTTGGCGCTTTCTGGAAGTACTTCGGGTCGGTTCACCGTCGTTCGCAATGACGTCCTGGGTTTGCGGGAGGGATGATGCCTCCCTAAGTTCTTTCGCCTTGCGTTTCTTGGTGGACACAGCGAACCACACATTACACCCGCCACTACCATGCATTTTTAGTATGTTTACCTCAAAGTTCATCTGAACTTGAACGCCTTACCATCTTCTGCCGCCTCCATCTACCTCTCTCGTTACGCTGGAACCGCACCGTGGCATCGGACAATCCTCTTCCGTCATGATTGAAGATCGATGCTGCATTAGAATCGCCATAATTAATGAGCTTCCGGGTCGTAAAAAGGAGGACTTGGATAGGGCGGTTGATCGGTCTGTGGCCTCGGTTATTTCAAAGTCCCCCCAGGTAACTTCAGCAGATCCTGGTCCAGCCTGGAACCTTTGTCGAATGATAGCATTCAACATTGCAAAATCATACTCAGAAGGCACTGGAAATTTCCGGCCAAGGGCATCTTCGCAGATGAGGGGGTCCTGGAAAAATGACCACCGAACATCCACCTTGCTTGCTATTGAAGCCTTGATATCCAGCACGACAGAGTAGATTTGCTGAGTAGACACACTAGATTCCTGTCAGAATAGACCACGATATCGTAATGGCATGTGGCTCTCACCAGGCTTTCACCACGATTTCCTTCATAGATGCCCAGGGAGATTGGGTCTCTCCGCTCACAATGGAGTGGACCTTTGCCAAAATTGACATGCCATTCAGAACGGTTGCTGTCTGGGCGGAGATATTGTCCTGGACCCGACGTAATAGGTTTTGTGTGTCGTCCAACCTCTGGTGGATCTGGAGCCGCTCGAACTCTGCCTCTTCACATGCAAGCATCATTGCCTCCAAGCCGTGCTCTGCGAGAAGTATGTTGATCGTTCCAAGATGAACACTGAGGTAGTTTTGCAATTTGCGAATCTCATCACTTTGGCTGAATCGAAACCGGATTTTATCGAGTTGGCCTTGCAGCGATATCTTTGTGCACTTAGGGCCGAGGAAAGTCTCGTATCTTCGAATCTTGCGCAAGAACTCTTCGAGGGGCCTTCGGCAGCTCAGGGCGGCAAATCGAATCGAATCGATGGTGGGCGACGGCTTCTTCGACTGCAGCCTGTCAAGGTGAGTGAGTGCCTTTTGAAGGCATTCCAGCTCCCTCACGAGGTCTTGGTATTCGGTCTTCGCACCCCCGATCTCTTTCAAGCACGAACATATGTCCTTGGCCAGCGAACTGACGGCCAGGACATCCCTCGCAGAGATTCCAACTGACATAGCTGTCTTACTTTATTGGACTCCGAAGTGCTTTCGTTGATGTGGTTCACTTGAAGACCATTTCCCCTAGCCGGCGGCTCGACATCAGGCACTGTGGCGCATTGAAGACACTCATGCTTCGAGTTGTCTGCCTCGAGCTGAGCCTCGGCGCTTCATAAATGCTCCTGATTTGCTGTGTTCTTGATAATCTTACCTACATAATGCTACCCTCCATCTGCTTATATAACTACGTGTTTCGGAGCTTATGGCTTCAATAATTGGCTAAATCGGATGCCATGATGTACTCTTAAGTAGTCAAGACAACGAATAATGTGTGCTGTACAAAAACAAGAGCGCGAGAGAGGATGAAGTTAAAATCCGGAGTACAGGGTAGGGAGATTTAGAACGACAGGCCCAAGATGGCGATCGCTCCCGGCTTCGGACAACATCCCATCGGTGCTCTTACAAATCAAAGAACCACCTCTGAACCAGACGAATGGGTCCCTTATCGCTTCTGGAAAGGACCACGCACAACACATGGCCTGGCACCCGGTAATAAACTCCATCGCTAGCAACGGATGCTGCTAGTGCCCATGAGCCAATTACTGGGGACAACTTACTCATCGGAAAATGTCCGCCGTCATAGCAAAACCGCAACTCCGCCATTGTGACCCCCAAGCGGCCTCGGCATGAACCCCGTAGATCTAACGTAGGTCCTACATCCCACACACCAACGTACCAAAGCCCAAGGTAGCCTCCCCTCCATAGCCCACCTTTGGAACATCCAGTACAGAGTAGCCAAGCCATCACAAATGACCAGCAGTCTTCCCCAACTGCCGGAGGTTGCCCTCCTGCAGAACGACGACTCGATGCTGTCTCGGAGGTTCGGCAAGGAGATTACAAATTACTATGCTGGCGGTAGCATCAACCGCATCTCGTTCCTGAGGGCCGACACCTCGTTCCTCCAGCAGGCGTCCAAGAGCCCCCGTGCTCGCTACTTCGCCCTGAACAACCTCGGCCCCGTTGTCGAGGATCAAGGCACCCTCGCTCTCTTCTCACTGGAGAACCTCAAGTCCCTGATAGGCTCAGATCCCTTCAAGCTCACCGAGGATGAGTCCATCAAGAACTTTGACTCAACCAAGAAGACGCCCCTGATCGTCTTCCTGGGTCTGCACGAGGGTCCCAACTCAGATGAGTTTACCACGGCCAGCCACGGCACCGTCAAGGGCGAGCCCTACTTCGCCGTTGATGTCACACCCCGTGGCACCTACTCCGAGGCCGCCTCTGCCTTCCTGAAGTCTCAGGAAGAGAAGGGCTTCACTGTTCAAAAGAATGCCCGGGCCATGACCCTCCACGCCGAAGCTGGTACGTATAAAGCCCGGGGTTGAGTAATATAAAAAAGCAGGGGAAGCGTAATGAAAGATGAAGAAGAAGAAGAAGAGAAAAAAAACTGACAAGATATTTCCTTCCCAACCCCAAAGCCGCCATGTACGCCCAGGCCAGATCCATGGTCGACTGGAACACCCGCAACGGCTTCTGCGCCGGCTGCGGCAACCCCAACCTCTCCGTCCACGCCGGCTACAAGCGCGTCTGCCCGCCCACGGATCTCAGGGGCGCGCAGGAGTCCGTGGCCCTCGACGACTGCCCAACCCGCCACGGCGTCTCCAACGTCTGCTTCCCCCGGACGGACCCCACCATGATCGCCGCCATCGTCTCCGCGGACGGCCAGAGGGTCCTCCTCGGCCGCCAGTCGCGCTACCCGGCCCACCTCTACAGCACCCTCGCCGGCTTCCTCGAGCCCGGCGAGTCCTTCGAGGAGTGCGTCCGCCGCGAGGTCTGGGAGGAGGCGGGCGTGAAAGTCGGCCGCGTCGTCGTCCACTCCACCCAGCCCTGGCCCTACCCCTCGAGCCTGATGATCGGCGCCATCGGCCAGGCCGTGGAGGACGGCGAGGCCATCGAGCTCAACGACAAGGAGCTCGACGAGGCCAAGTGGTTCCCCATCGAGGAGGTCCGCCAGGCCCTCCTCTCCGGTGCTGGGGCTCTCGACGCGCCCCCTCCTCCGGGTTACAAGGAGGGCGAGCTGCGTGTGCCCCCGCCCCAGGCCATTGCCAACAGGCTCCTCACGGCTGTGGCGGAAGGCTACCTTACTACTGCTCCCAAAATCTAGAAGAATAATTTTTAGACTTGAATAAACCTTTTTCCATGAGTAGGAGCGAGCGATGCGGGGTGAATATACTATGAGAAACAGGACATCCATTTCTTTATCTTTCAATGCTTTCAATTCACACCGCCCCTTTTTCTATGTACGAAAGTAGAGTTGTTCAAGAGTGAAGCCTTCAGAAATCAACTTTAAGCAGGTGGTTAGTCTATTTAACTTTGGGCGTGAAACTCTGGGTAGAACTGGCTTGTTTGAAGAGGATAACTTATTTGATAATAGCCGCTGGCTGACCTTTCTGATTATAAATAATAAGTTATCCTCTTCAAACAAGCCAGTTCTACCCAGAGTTTCAAGCCCAAAGTTAAATAGACTAACCACCTGCTTAAAGCTAGGTAGTTTTTGAAGGCTCCTCGCTCTCAAGCAAACCCCCC